GGCGATTTATTACGCAGTCACGGAAAAATTGGTTTATAAATTAACAGCTGTTTTAACTTTAGGGCCTCTTCTTCAGGGAATGGAAGCAGCCGACTGGACCGGGCTTGGAGTGCGTGCGGGGCTGGTGCAGGGAGCAGGCGGCGGCGAGCCCGGCAGCTGGCATCTTCGGGGCGGCCTCAGCTGGCACCTCGGGGGGCACCAGGCCGTGGCCAGAGCAGGGGGTCTCCAGGTGCCTGGGCCCAGGCTCCCCGCTGGGGCCGCAGCCAGATCTCCGCGCAGCGTCCGCGTGGGGGCCCCAGAGGGCGCAGAGAGAGACGACGATGCTCGCTTCCGCCACCAGAGGGCGGCCGGGGCACGCGAATCTCTGCAGCTGCCAGCTCGGGCCCAGCGCCGAGCAGGGGAGAACCCCGCGCCGGTGCACACGCATCGCATCGTCCTCCGTCCATCCTGGAGGCGTGAGAAGCAGGCGCGAATATCGAGGACCGGCGGGCGTGGTGACGCACGCCTGTGATCTCAGCGCTGGGGAAGCCGAGGCAGGAGGATCACTGTGAGTTCGAGGCCAGCCTGGGCTACATAGTGCTCAAGGCCGGCCTGGGCTACAGAGCGAGGCCCTATCTCAAAAACAAAACAAACAAACAAACAAACACTACTGACGGAAGTGAGATGATACCAGCCGCCCATGTCTATGAGTTGCGTGTTCATCGACTCATTCATTGCTCAGTCCATGCTAAGGTACCCAGAGCCCACTGTATGCTGGGCACCATGTAAAGATGGATGGTGGGAACGCGGGCATAGTGATGCACGGCCTCTGGGAGGCTGAGGCAGGAGGATCCCAAGTTTGAGCCCAGCCTGGGCAACTGTCTCAAAAGGAGGGGGACTGGGAATCTAGCCCCGCGCAAAGGCTCTGGATACTTTTGGAAAATCTTTTTTTTTTTTTTAAAGACAGTGGGAGGGACTCATCTCAAAACAGCATGCTGCAAGTCCTGTGGGGAGATTGATTTGGACGCGGGAAACAGTGCTTCCGGGAGACGGAGACATTCTGTCCCTGCATGTTCACGTGCTACATGAAATTTTCAAAAACTCTTGAGATGTGTACTTCAAAGGGGTACATTTTGTTGTATGTAAATGTCAACTCAATACAGTGGGGTTTTATTTTCTTGTTTTGTTTTGGTTTTTGAGACATAGTCTTGCTGTGTTGCCCAGGCTGGCCTTCATCTTCCAACTCAGCCTCCTGCGTAGCTGGGATTACAGGTGTGCATGGCCCACTCCACCTGGCTTCCAGAAAGTTGATTATTCATTTATTTATTCTGTTATGAGAAAAGAAAAAAATGGAAATGAAATCTATGTAAATAGGGAAGGGTGAAGGGGGTGAAGGGCGCACAGGTAATGGGAACTAAGATACATTATGTACAGGTACAAGCACCCAGTAATAAATGTAAACTTTTTGTATACCTAAAATGTACCAATAAAAGAATTTAAAAAATTAAAAATATATATTTATTTATTTTGTTTTGTTAATGGTTTGGTTTTGTTTGAGGCAGAGTCTCTATGTAGCCCAGGCTGGCCTCGAACTCTCAGGGATCCTCCTGCCTCAGCTTTCCCAAGTGCTGGGATGACAGGTGTGGACCACCACACCCAGGGATAAAGTTGATTTCTGTTTAAAAGCAAGTAAACATCCAATATGAATTTATGGAATGAACCAATGTGTTACTAAATGTCCCAGGTGACTAGCCTCCAATCTGGTGTCACCTTCGTCCCGGCTGAGGGTCCCCGGGTGTCCCCGGAGACGGGCCTTGGGACTCCTGTCCCGGCTGCCCTCCCCCAAGTCCCTGCCTCCCCTAGAAGCGAGGAAAGTCGCCCCGTGCCCAGCCCTCCCCCAAGCTGCCTCCCAGGATTTCCGGGGCCTCCCTTCCAGCTGTCGCGTGCCAGCCCTGCCAGCTCAGCTCGCCAAGGTCACCAGTGCGATGCCCAACTGCAGACCCGGTGCCAGCCGCACAGCGCCGAACCCTGGCTGACTCCGCCACCTGCTGGCCCTTTGTAGAACTGCAGCCCTAGAGTGGCAGGGAGGAGTGAATCTTTGAAGGCGGCTGAATCCTGGGCTTCGGACGCTTAATCGTACAGACATGGCGCGAGGTGGGCTTTGAAACACAAAGGAATGGAGGTGCAGAGAAGCTACCAGGTTCACACAACTGCAGGCCTGAGATTCCTCCCCAGGCTGCCGATGTCCCCAGTGTATCTCTTTTTCTTGAGACAGAGTCCCACCATGTAGCCCAGGCTGGCTTAGAACTAAGTGTTCCCCGGGCTGGGCTCCAACACATGGCGATCCTCCTGCCTCAGCCTCCTGAGTGCTGGGATCACAGGTGTGGGCTATCACATCTGACTTCCTAGTTTAAGTCCTGTCCAGGTGACGTCTTGCTTGAGGAGAGGGAGGAAATGTTCCCAACTGTCCCCTCTCCACACCTTCCTGGAGAGCGGAGGTTCAAAGGCGCCTAGCGGAGAAGAGGGTCTGAGCAGGCACCAGGCAGAGTGGTGAAGGGAGATGTTGGGAAGGACACACCCCAGAATATCGTGTCCAGGGTGGCGGTGTGGCTCAGTGGCAGAGCCCAACACAGAAAGTTAGTGCTAGGACTGCCCACAGCCATGACAGGCACCTCGCCACCAACACTGTCGGGCTGAGCTGGAAAACACACGGCTCCATCAGAGTTAAGTCAAACGAGGTCTTGAATCTGTTCAGCGGACCTAACCGCCCCGTGCTTCTAACTCAAGAATAATAACCCAAGAGTGGCATGTTATTTTGCATCTCATTTGCATGTGATTAACTCCAAGTCACAGTGAATGGGGTCACCCTGGCCCTGGGCTGCTGGCTTCACCCAGGTGTCCCCTGCCCACCCCACCCTGCCAGCCCCTGCCCTTCTGAGGCTCCCGGTGGACCCACCCGTCCTCCTGGTCCCACGCAGCCCCTGCCACCCGGCCGCCCACAGGGAAAAACTTTTCCCCAAGTTCTTGAGAAGTCGCGTAGGATCCAGGAAAGAAAAATCAAAGTAATAAAACCTCATTTAATTCCTAACGGAGGGCAGAGCTGGGAGCTGCAATTATCTTAATGCCGAGCTATTTTTACTCTCTCCATCTCTGTCTCCTGCCTTTCTGTCGTGAGCCTTTCCCTTCTCTCTGCTCCCCTTTGTCTCTTCATCTTTCATGGCTTTCTGGCTCCTTTGGCTTTCTTCTACAACCCCCCAGCTCTGTACCGTCTCCTGCCAGCCTGAGCTCCGGGAGATGTCTCCTGACTCTGGGGGTCCCGGAATATGTCCTTCATAAATAAACAAGCCCTAGCCAGGTGTGGTGATGCACGCCTGTAATCCCAGCCCTGGGGAGGCTGAGGCAGGAGGATCCCTGAGAGTTCAAGGCCAGCCTGGGCCACACAGAGAGACCCTGTCTCCAAAAACCAGACAATAAGCAAGCACTGCTGCTGAACTGAGGTTGGGGAGTGTTCCCCGAGGGCTCTTCTGCTCCACCCCATAACCCTCTGCGCGGCCCCCAGCCTTGGAAGCCAAGCCCCTTCCCCCACCTTGGTCCATGCCCTTCCTGTGCCCCTTGTTGTTTACCCCCTAAGCACTGCCAACCTGGCCTCTGCCGCTCCCCACCACACCCCGGCAGAGAAGGGGTCCTGGGCCAAGCCAGGGATGGCCAGAGATGTCCACACCCCTGGGCCAGCAGCCTGGCATCCGGCTGTGTCCTGGACAAGTATAAAAGTCAACAGACACAAGGGACTGGAGCCAGGCTGCGCCGGAGGAGGAGTCTGGCTGGCAGGGCCAGAGCTGTGGCCCCCTGCTCGAGTCCCAGGTGGGCAGAACATCACGCCCCTGACCCCACTGCCCTGAGAGTCCTCTGGGCTCTGGCTGGGCCCAGGAGCCACTGTGCTTGGGTGGGAGAGGAAAGGCTGCAGGGAGGGCTCCTGGCTGTGCTGGGCCGGCGGGTGACCTGGATAGAAGCCACCCAGCACAAGGGGCCGGAGGACAGCGTGTCCACGAGTGCACCTTCCCGGCCTCGCCCCACTCCGGCCTGGACAGAGCAGCCCCTCTTGTCCCCTCCAGATGCCCACAGGCACCTCTGTGGAGGGTGGGGCTGGCACCCGGGAGCAGCACACACCCCTCTCCCCATCACGTGATGGCAAGTGACCCACAAGGCGCCCCAAGCCCCAGTCTTGCCCCCAGGGGACACAGGCAGGGGGTACACCGCTGCTAGACGTGTGCCTGCCCCCCCACCCCGGACCGCAGCCCAGTCGCGGCTGGTCCAGGCCGGTGTCCCCACCCTGCGAGCTGGCGCTGCCGTCACCCTGACAGCCCTGACGTCCTCCCACGCCCCCGCCCGCCCCGCACACACGCAGGACTCCTACGCGCTGCCACTCTCGCGCGTCTCCGACACTGACACGCTCACTCGCACAAGCACAACTCACACCACCCGACGCCCCGCGCCCCCCCCCGGGGCCCCTGCACAGTTCCCTGCCGCGGTGACTGACGCGAGTCCTCCCACGCGCGCCTCGTCCACGCCGCTCGCTTCCTAGGACACCCCCATTCCCAGCGTGACAGGTGCCACTCTCGCGGGCCTCCGTGCAACTCCCAGCGCCAGGGCCACCAGGTGGTGAACGCGGGCGTCCCCGCGGCCCCTTCTCCCCTCCCCCCTCGCTGCTGGACGCCATCAATAATGCAGCGCAGGTCTGGGGGGCCGGCAGGGGGCCCCCACCCCACTCACCGGCCCCGCCCCCTGCTCTCCGGCCCCGCCCCCTCCTCCCGGGGCTCGGAGGGGGCGCGGTGCTCGACGCTCATTGGCCGCTGGCCCTGGCCCGCCCACCGCGCGCGGGTGCCACCCCGGGAGGGCGGAGACGGGCTGGGACCCGGGTTGAGCCCCGCGGGAGAGACAGGGACAGGGACGCGGGGCAGGGGCAGGGCCGGGAGCAGACCCAGGACCCGCGAGGGCGAGGGCGCAGGGGAGCCGGGCGGGGGCGCCGAGCCGGGCAGGGGCGCAGCGAGCCCGGGGAGCAGCGAGCCCGGCCGAGCCCCGCGCCGGTGCCACTGGAGCTGGGCGCAGGAACCGCTCGGCTCCTCCCGCTCCTACCCCAGCCTCCTCCTCCACCTCGCCCCTCGAGACCCCTGGCCGCCAGGCGGCTGGAACAGCGCGCGGGCGCCGAGCGGGGACGCAGCCCGAGAGCCCGGGGCGCACCCGCCATGGACCCCAAGGACCGCAAGAAGATCCAGTTCTCGGTGCCCGCGCCCCCCAGCCAGCTCGACCCCCGCCAGGTGGAGATGGTAAGGGGCCGCGGCCCGCCGCAGGGCCCGACCCACCCGGAATCTGCGGCGCACCGGACTGGGGGCGCAGGGCCGGGATCCCCACCCGGGCCCCCGCAGGCCGCGCAGCGCCAAGTTCGCGGACACTCGCGCAACTTTTCCCGGACTCCGGGCCGATCCCGGGCCGGAATTTGGCCGAGAGCGTCGGGTAGCTGCCCGGGGACTGTCCTTTCTGGGGCGCCGTCTTTTCTGGGGTACCGTCCTTTTACCCTGCGCAGTCCCTCCGCTAGCCTCCTTCCCGGCCTCCCACTAGGACCTCCCGCCACCGTGCCAGCCCCAGAAACCCGGGAAGTACACCTGACCCGGTCACTCTCCGCGCCCTGCACGCCCCCCAGCCCACCCCGCGTGCCCAGCTGGGGTCGCGGACCTCGCTGTGGCTCTCTCTGATCTCAGGTCCTGCGGATCTCAGGTCCCCGAACCCCCAGAGGGAGAGGTGGCCAGCCGGGCCACAGCCCAGCGGGGGCACTTGTTGCTGAGGGGAGGATGGGCCGAGTGGCCTCGGGAGGGAGGGGCGGCAGCGTCGGTCTGGAGCGCAGTGCTGGGGACTCGCGGGGGAGGTGACAGCTCCAGCGCATTTCCCTGGGGCGCGGAGCGGACCTACTTAGGCGGCAGTGGGTCTGATTGCGGCGCCCGTGGGGCCGTGCCCTTCCCGTCCAGCTTGGCTCTCTGGCGAGCAGGGCAACTTCTCCTTGCTCAGAGCTCCCCAGCCCGAGAAGGGCTCCCCGATGGCTCTTCACGCTGAGCCCTGCTGGGTCCCCCCCCCCAACTGGACCCGGTTTCTCTGGAGCCCTTGAGGTGATGTTAGGTGCAGGGCTTTATCTTCCCAGAGGGCCCAGGAGAAGGACCCTCTGGGCAGGAGAAGGAAAGGAAGACACGGGTTCTGGAGTGGCCTTGGAGGGGACAGAACTGGGCTGGGGCTCGGGGCCTGGATGTTCTGGGCCTTTTCTAGTCCCTTGGACTTGGTGTGTGCTGTGTGACCTTCAGCACGCTACTGAACCTCTCCGAACCTGGGGTTTTCATCTGTGTACAGTGGAGGGGCTGAGGGAGCTACAGAGCTGCTTTAGCTCTGGGAGTCTTTGATTCAGAGGCTCCCTGGGGATTCCAAAGTGCTGCTCTCTGCTGCCTGGGGTTGGGGTGCGTGGACCTGGGGTGTCTGTCCTGCAGGTGTCTATCCTCTCTCTCCCTTCCATCTCCTCAGATCCGGCGCCGGAGGCCAACCCCTGCCATGCTGTTCCGGCTCTCGGAGCACTCCTCGCCAGGTAGGACTCTCGCCTGCCCCCAGCAGCCTCTTTCCGGGGGACAGTGGGGGTCAGAACTGAAGCCTGGGAGTGGGTTTGGGTCTGAGAGCCCAGCGCTTCGGGGGTCACTCTCTGAATGGCGCCCCCCGGAGGGGCACAGTTTCCTCCCTGGAAGCTGAGATCTGGGACGGTAATGCGGATTCTCTCTCCCTCCTCTCTGCTTCTGCTGGTGCCATGCTCCGGGGGCCTCTGCAGAGGAGGAGGCCTCTCCCCACCAGGTGAGTCCCCAAGCCAGCTCCAGGAGGGAGGCAGGCTCTGGGGGGCGGAGGGCACGGTGCCCACAGCGCCAGCTGAGCAACACAAGGCATCACTCAGTGGCACTCTGGGAGGGCACATTAGCCTATCAGTGGCACCTCCGAGTGGGCCAGGGCCATTAGGTCCCCGTCCGTTCCCCCTCAGGCTCTCGGATGTCCTGAAGCCACGGGGGGGCGGGGCAGAGGCTGGAGCAGTTGCCCACCCTGTTGCTGCTGCAGTGGGATGGCGGGAAGGCAGAGGGGGCCAGGACCCGGGGAGCCCCTGAGCCCTCTGTTCCCTGCAGAGAGCCGCAGGAGAGGGGCACCACCCCAAGTCCAAGAGACCCAACCCCTGTGCCTACACACCACCCTCGCTGAAAGGTACACTCTGCCGTGAGCCCACCGTCCCGGGGACGGGCTGACACTGTGGGAGGGAGGGGGGCTTCCCCCCGGCGACCAGAACTGCAAGACAGTGGCTGAAAGGGCAGCTGGAGCCCTGCAGCAGGGCGAGAAGGAGGGGTGGTCCGGGTGACAACAGCCCCTGCCCAGTCTGCTCCTCCACGAGGCTGGCCTGGGCCAGACGCCCCCATGCAGGGCACCTTCTCCCCTCACCCCATTTGCCACCAGACCCTTCCCTTGCCTGCTTCTCAGCTCTGTAGTGACAGGCAGGTCACCCCATAGCCACACTGCCGGGGCATTGTACCAGGCTCCACTCCTGGGCACTTGGGGCTGCCACCCATGGCATAGCACTGGCCTAACATGCGTGAGGCCCTGAGTCGATTCCCAAAACCAGAACAAGGGAAGCTGAGTAAGACATGGGGATTGGCTTCTCCATCCCTATGCTCCTGGGCCCCTGGCCTCCAGCATCAGGGGGAGCTCACAGGGTGAGGGGTGTGGACTTGGGTTTGGGGGTCAGATCAGAGGAACCAGGGACAGAAGGGTGACACGGGGGCTCCAGGCCCACCAGGGGTTCCAGGCCTGGTCTCTGGCCAGGGACGATGGGAGCCACAGCTGAAGGAGAGAGGGGTGCTGATTGGGGTGGGGAGGGCAGAGAGGTTCCGAGCAGCAGCAAAGGTCACCTGCCACTGCCTGCCCGGCTGGGCACGGAGCGGAGGCTCCTGGTCTCCCAGGACGGGGACATGAAAGGACAGAGCTGCAGGAAGTGGGTGGCACGGGGGACAGGGGTCCGGAGCAGGGCCAGGGAGAGGGGACATCTCAGGGAGGCAGGAAACCGGCCCCCATTCCAACCCCGATGAGTGAAAGGGGCAAAAACTGTCCCTGGGGCTTTTCTGAGGGGTGCTGGGGATCGAACCAGGTGCGGGCTAAGCATGTGACACCCGCAGTCCCTCTGGCTCCTGACATGGGGGTAGGTTGGGGGCAGCAGGTGGAAGGGGGACAAGAGATCAGGAGGAGGGTGCCACGTCTACTTCCATGCTTGGCTTAGTGGCGCTTAAAGAGGGACTTAGCAGGGCGTGGTGGTGCATGCCTGTCATCTATCCCAGCACTTGGGAGGCTGAGGCAGGAGGATCGCTGCAAGTTCGAGGCCAACATAGTGAGACCCCGTCTCAAAAAACCATAAGGAAAAAAGATAAAAGGAGACCTGCATTAGGGAGAGTTCAGAACCCAGAAATGGAGAAGCTAGAAGAGGGGGAGGGAAAAGGAAAGAGAAAGGGCAGACCCAGCGGTCCCAGCAGAGCAGGGGGAGGCTCGTGGCACGTGCACCTACTGTCACCATGGCTCTGACTGCTCTCCTCCCCCTGGCAGGCCCAGGGCTGCCACCACCTTTTGCCCCAACTGCAGGGGCGGCTGGGTTCAGGAGGGAGCTGGGTGGCAGCTCCTGGCCTTTCTAGGGGACCTGAGAACCCTCCAGAGTAGGAGGAAACACCAGGTCTTGCTCTGGGGAGGAGTGGGTGCCCAGGTCTCAGTGTCACTCTTGGCTCAGGGGGAAGCTCTGCCACCTCCCCAAGGCCAGGGCAGGGTGATTTATTGGGCTTTTATTGCCTGAGTAGCCTGCCCAGAGCCAGCGGGAGGGAGGCTTGGGCACACACAATGCACCCTCTGTGCCTGTCCCCAACTTGGCAGGACCTCAGGGTCCCGTCACAGACCCGGAGGTTTCCAAACGCCTCGGGGAGGGGGGGAACTGCCAACCTCACCCCTGGTCGGTGCCTGTGGACTTGGTGTCCCGAGCACTCCCAGACCCCGTCAGCCTCCCCGCCCCTCACCAGCACCTCTGCCCCCAACCCCCCATTCCCACTCCGGCCCTTCCTGGGCCCTCTCCGAGCACGTCCTGGTAGTGGGGGTGTTGGCAGCTTTCTAGGTCACTGCAGAGGGAGCTGGGAGCTTGGGGATGTGGGTCAAGGTGTTGGGGGCCGCACTGGAGCAGGTCACTTCCCCAGGCACGGACTCCCTGGCTGTGGATGATTGTGTCCTTAGGCCCAGAATCGACCCCACCCTTGGAACCCGCAGCAGGGGGTGTGGGTGGGCATCTAAGAGCAGTGGCACGGTGGGGGTGGGCACAGCACAGTGGAGGCAGGATCTGAGTGAGCAGTGAACCTCAGGCAGGCTGAAACCCCCCCAAAAAGGAGAAGGCAAATCCCCTGCCCGGCCTGCAGCCTGGCACCTCCTGCCTGGGGTTGAGCCGGTCCACATGGCCTGCAGGCCTGGGTACCTGGCAGAGCAAGCCCCCAGCCAGGGAACATTAAGCTGCTGCTATGCCCGTCTGGACTTGCCCAGCCTGGCACCCTATGTCGAGGGGCACTTCCTTGTGCCAGTCTCTGTGGGGCCAGTGTCTCGACAGTTTAAAACCAAACACGATGCAGCCTGCCCCCTGCTGCTGCTCCTGCCTTGGGCTGGCCTGTGGCCTTGAACTTGGGCCCAAGGTGGTGGCCCACAGGCTGGGGAGGGAGTGCGGGGCTGCTGCCTGGGCCTGGCCGACCCTGCCCTGCCTGGGCCCTGTCAGCTGTGCAGCGCATCGCCGAGTCCCACCTGCAAACCATCAGCAACCTGAGTGAGAGCCAGGCCTCAGAGGAGGAGGAGGACGAGCTGGGGGAGCTTCGGGAGCTGGGCTACCCGAGAGAGGACGAGGAGGAGGAGGAGGAGGACGAGGAGGAGGAGGAGGAGGAAGAGGACAGCCAGGCTGAGGTCCTGAAGGCCATCAGGGGCTCTGGTAAGCTGAAGGGACTGTGACACATGACCATGAGATCCCGCAGCACCTGTCCCTGGGTCACTGTGGCGACCCTGCAGCAACGGCACATCCGGGGCCTCCCCACCCCCATCCCGTGAGAGCTTCTCTGTGGCCTCATCTGAGCCCTGGGCTTCCTCCATTCTCCCTCTCCTAGTCAGGTCTTGCCTGAGAATTAAGGCAAGGGCACAGGAGGTATGAGGCTAGAGGCAAAAAAGGACTTCAGAGCTAGACCTGGTGGTGCACGCCTCTAATGCCAGCACTTGGGAGGCTGAGGCAGGAGGATCGCAGGAAGTTACAGGCCAGCCTCAGCTACATAGTGAGCTCAAGGCCAGCCTGGGCAGCATAGTGAGATCCTGTCTTACACAACCAAAAAAATAAAATGAAAAAGGCCTTCCAGCCACTGCAGTGAGGCACTGTGAAGGAGGCGATTCGGGGGAGCCCAGCACCCCCATTGCCTGCATTTCCGAGCCCTGGATGTGCTCTCTTTGGGGCTCATTGGCCGTCTCCAGAGCCTGGAGACCCTTTCTCCCTTTTTCTTTCCTGGGATTGGAATGGGAGGGTGCCCTCTAGTGTCCACAAGGAGAATTTAGGGTTTAAGAACCTTGCACCTCAGCTGCCTGAGTGGAAGGGGTCAGGGAGAGGACCAGGAGTCCGGGGTCTAGACACATCGAGAAGTGTCCCAAGCTGGGAGAGTTTCTGGGCTGGAAGAGCTCACCCCTCCCATGGCCGTTTCTGCAGGCCTGGCCATGGGAAGCTGTGCCACTTCTATGCCTCCTGGTGAAGGGTGAACTTTTTTGTTTTGGTACCGGGGATCGAACACTGGACCTTATGCTTGCCAGGAAGGCGGTGGAACCACTGAGCTAAATCCTCGGCCCATGAACTTTTGTCCCATTATTTATGAGAATGATACACGGTTGACGACCCCACATACACACACTTGAAACGTTCAGCCCTCACACCCTAACAAGTTGGCTTGGGCCTGCATCTGAGGGCTAGAAGACCCCAGAACAGGTGGAAAGGAGTTGAGAGGTGGCCGTCCCTTCGGGGCAACCAGCAGGGCACTGGGTCACATGACAAGACTACCAAGGAAGCCATGAAGGGCGGCTCTCGGGAGGCTGAGGCAGGAGGATAGCTGCAAGTTGGAGGCCAGCCTGGGCTACGTAGGCAGACTGTCTCAAAACACAAATAAACCACTATGCCATGATGCCTCCAAAGGTTTGGGCTCGGCCACGAGAAATTTAGCTCTTGCTCCAGGTCAGCCAGATAATACCTACAGCCTGTGTTTTTATTCCTTCTTCCCATCCCCAGCTGGGCAGAAGGTAGCCTGTGGCCAGGGTCTGGAGGGGCCCTGGGAGCGCCCGCCCCCTCTGGATGAGCCCCAGAGAGACGGCAGCTCCGAGGGCCAAGATCCGGCACTAACTGGTATGGCTGGGAGTGTGGAATGGGGAGGCCAGGCCCGACCTGGTGCGGGGCCAGGCCCTGAGTCCCTCTCTACTTGCCTTGCAGAGCCGGGACAGGAGCCTCAGCGCCCCGAGCCTGGCACATAAGTGTGCAGCTCCCAGTCTTCAAGAGGAAGTAGAGGGGGCGTCACTGTTCCCCAGAAACCCACTCTGTCCCCGCCCTGTTCTTCCCCTCCCCTGCGACTTCTAGACGACTGAGGCTGGTCTGTGTTTGCTTCTTTGCCCACCTTTGGCTGATGCCGAGTCCCTGACACCCGCCCCTGCCAGTCGTTCCTCCATTCACCCGGTGGGAGATGGGGTGTGGGGAACCCCGTGCTGGAAAATTCAGGAAGCAGAAAGGAGGATTTGCTTTTCACAGTCCTACTCCCCAGATCCTGTCCCCTGGGCACAGGAGACCCACAGGGCAGGACCCTAAGATCTGGGGAAAGGAGTGTGAGAACCTGCAGGGGTCCTGAGAGCCTCCTCCGCCTCTCTCCCCGCCGGACTCCAAGTCACCATCCCGTCACCAGCGTCTCCCAGGGCCCAGGACTACTCCTCCACAGCCTCAACGCACAGAGATCTCTGGATCAGCCCTTCTCCCCTGCGTGCCTGGAAGATGGACTGGCAGGGGCTGCTTCGTTGCGTTTTGTTTGTGCTTTGATGCCGGGAATGCCGCCTAGTACGCGTCCTTAGGGGGGACACATGGCGGGGAAGCCAGGTTCTCCTTGTCCCCAGCTACTCTGTCCTCTTCCCCTTCTTCCTCAACTCCAGGCCTGAATCCCTCCAGTGCTGTAATACATCTTTGTAAATAACTGTGCCAAGACTCTCTTTCAGGGGAGGGAAGAGAAGCGGGAGGTGATAGGTGTCCTGTTACGCAGGGCTGGTGGTCATTCAGGAGGCAGGACTCTCTTACAGAGCAACTTCAGCGCAGCCGAACTCCCTTTGCGTCGGGGGGCGGGGCTCAGTGCGACGCAATTCTCGGCTTGCTCTGGGGGCGGGTTTAAGGGCGGAAGTGGCGTCTCCAGGCAATCTCCTTCCGCTCGGAGGCGCTGCGGGGCCCGCGGGGCTGGACTGCGACTGGGTCAGGAAGAGCTAGCACCGTGGCTGCCATGGAGCAGGTGGGTTCTCCAGCCGTCCCGGGCCCGGGGGCGGTACCAAGACGATCTCTCACCACCGGATGCTGATTCCCCGCCCGGTGTCCGTTCTTGGTTGGGTCCGACCCGTCCCACGCCCCCCGCGCTCTGGGTTCCGCCCCCTTCCTCTGCTCCACCGAGCTGCTCGCGGCGTGGGACTGGGGTTCGGCGGCTGCGCGCCCGAGAGGGCTGGGGGAGCAGGGGCACGGGGACCGACGCGGGAGAAGCGGGGGGCTGCCTCTGGGCTTTGCGGGAGGCTCAGGATCTGAGAACGAGGAAGAAAACCTATGCGCGTTCCGTTAGGTCTGCGTTTCACTGTCGTCTGCTGGCTCTCCCGACTTCCTTTGGAAATGGCCGGGAATAACTTTGTAATCTAAAGTGCCCTGTACCCGCCCCGAGTCCTAGAGGTGCGTGATCGTCGCCGTCCCTGACGGACGCCCCAGCTCCGAATCGTCCTGGCTTCTGAGCGCCGTCAGAGCACCCTCACGGGCCCTCTGGGCCCTGACTCGGGGTCCCGCCTCTTCCCCAGGGTGCAGCTCTCCTGCGATAAAGACCCACGGGGCTCCACACAGCCTGCAGTTGCCCGCGGCACACGTCCGCCGCCGGGCAGCCCTGCAGCTGAACCGATCTCTCCCTGCTGCCCTGTCCCGGCATTAACCCGGGCATTGCCTTCCACTTCCTCTTTTTCCGTTCCCACATCTAAGACGTGACCTAGCAGACAGCTAACTTCCCGAACCTCCAGTCTTTCTCCCTGTCCTCTGTGTCCACTGTCTCCTCTGTGGATGTGTTTCTCCGGAGACTGCAGTAGCTTCCTACAAGCTTTTTAAAAAAAATAGTTTCTCATTATGTAGCGCAGGCTGGCCTGGAACTCACAGCGATCCTCCTCCCTCAGCCTCCCTAGTGCTGGGATCACAGGCCTGCGCCATTGGCTTTGGCAGCGGCTTCTAATCACGACCTCTGCAACCCAGTCTCCTTACTGTAACTCTTGCATGCATCTTAGAACACAAATCTGACTGTATCACTTCCTTGTTTGTAATTCTGACTGCTTCCTGTTGCCTATTTTAAAAGGCTGAATCCTTAGCCCAGTTTACAGAGCTCCCTAGAATTTCTCACGCGTTCCTTAAGTTTGAGTAATAGAGTGCCTCGGGGTACGCACTGCTCACACCTTGCTGTCCCATGTTTCTGTTCCCTTGCACGCAGCAGCCCTCTGCTTTCTCCCATCTGCTGGGCTCCCTTCCCCTTGCTCTTCAGTTCTCTGCTCAGGCAACCTCATCTCTGGGTCACCTCCGCCGCCTCCGGGGCTAACTGGCTCTCTGTCCCCTCAGGATCTTGCTCCTAATAGGATAGCTGAGAATGCAGACTCCTGAATCCGACTGACTGGGTTCTTACCTTGTCTTGTGACCTTGATAACCTCAGTGTCTCACTCTCCTCATTTGTAAAGCAGAGACAGTAACATGCCTGCCTGTAGAGTTGTTGTGAGTCTTAAATGAAGTACGCGTAGGGCTTGAACCTGCCAAGCGCACAAGTGCCCAGTCTGTAAATGTGGGTTACCATGACCTACACAAGAACGGTCTAAACAAGTGCAGTGGCTCATACCTGTGACCCAGCTCATCTGGAGGCTGAGGCAGAAGGATCACAAGTTTGAGGCCAGCCTAGGCAATTTAATGAGAATGTGGCTCAAAATAAAAAATTTAAAGGGCCGGAATGTAAACTCAGTGGTAGAAATGCATGAGTCCCTGGGTTTAATCTTCAGTACTGTTCAAAACAACCCAAAAACTCATTGATTGGTTATGATTTTTAAATACATAAGCAACTTAAGGACAGTTAATGTGGCTCACTTCTCATTCTGTCCCAGAGCCATGAAGCCTGGCTCTTTGCCATTAAATAAAGTGCTAGAGTAAGGGCACTGGGGCGGGGGGCGGGGGCTGAGGTTGTTATTGAGGATTCAAGGTTCAAGGGTGCCAAAGACCCAGACCTGATGTCAGGAAAATGAACCCGGAAGTGGGTCAGTGTTATGTTGTAAGCCTCTGTTCTGGAGAGGTGGACGTGGTTCTCCGGGAGCCCAAGGGAGGGAGGCCAGAAGTGGCTTCCAAGAGGAGGTGACAGAGGCCTGGATTCCTTGGCTTTTCATTGCTGACAAAACACCTGACCTGAACAGCTGAGGGAGGGAGGTCTGGGACCTGTTGTTGGGTTGGGCCTTGCCTAACCCTGGCTCTGGCTGCTCAGCACTGGTGCTGGGGGAAGCCATGCTGACACCCATGCATCAGCGCTCACGCTCAGGGCCTTTCCTTGAGGGGACTGACCTCTGGGGGAAGTGGACTGGCCCTTTCCAGGCTGCCCCTGAGAACCTGACCTCAGGAGCCCTGTTTTACCCAGCAACACTAAGGGGCAGGGCGGGGCCTGACTCTCGCTGGGCCTGAGTGGGTGGGGGTCTCGGGGTCACCAAGCTGCCCCATTCAGCGGGGTGGGGTGGCGGGCCCGGCTCAGTGGATCTGCTTGTCAGGGCTCCCAGGGCCCTGCCCTGTGGGGAGGAGGGGTGTTGAGGGAAGAATTTGTCTTCTGTTTCACCTTGACCCTCCTTCCTCTTCCCCCAGAAGGAAAGGGGAAATGGAGCCCAGCCCTAGCTTTTCAGTTTTATTTAATTAAAGTGTCATCGCTGCGACAGGCTCCTCTCCTTAAACTTCCGCTTCTCTGGGAATTTCCAAACCCACAGTGGGTGAGGTGGGAAGGGGCCAGAGGCCAGCAGTCCCCAGGCTGAGGTCACGGGCTGCTGAACCCTGAGTGGCAGGAGAGCCCCAGATATGCCATCCTGCTCAGGTCCCCGAGGGGAGCCCCACCCCGTGCAGCAGGCCTGGTGGACCTCAGTTCTCAAGGTGCTTAGCTGAGGGCCAACCTCGCACTGCCCACAGAGGGCTTAGGGGCAGCTGTGCAGTCTGATCCCATCAGGGCCTACAGTGGGTGCCGCCTCACCCCATTGTACAGGCCGAGACTGAGGCCCAGAGAACTGCAGGGCTTTCCTTAAGGCCACACCGTGGCCCCTCACCTGCATCCTGCTGCCCTAGGGTGGACCTGGTAGCCAGAGGCAGCTGACTGCAGGACACAGTGGCCTGGCCTCAAGGGCTCAGGAGAGAACTTGGAAGCTCAGGCTTCACTGTGGGGTGAGCCGGGGTGGCTGGCGGTGGTGGCTGGGGAGGCCTTGGTCTTGGAGGTGATATTTGAACTTGAAGGGTGTGAGTTCTCCCCAGTAGGAAGAGGGGGTTCCGGATGAGGAAGCAGGCAGGGGAGACCCCCAAGCCCGCTGTGGGCAGTGCGAGGTTGGCCCTCAGCTAAGCACCTTGAGAACTGAGGTCCATCAGGCCTGCTGCACAGGGTGGGGCTCCCCTGGGGGAGCTGAGCAGGAGGGCAAATCTGGGGCCCTCCTGCCATTCGGAGTTCAGCAGCCCTTGACCTCAGCCCAGGGACAGAGGAGATCCAGCTTCTGTGTCCTGGGGTGGGCAGTGGTCAGGAGAGTCTGGGGGCATAGAGGCCCCGGAGCAAGCGAGCAGGGGAAGGCTCCCCTTTCCCCCTTGACCCTCGAGATGAAGGGATCTGACACGCCGGGAGCCTTCCCCTTGTGTTTGGGGACTCGAGAGGGAAGGGGGGCAGCACCCTGCCTGTGGGTGCCTGGGGACCCCGCTTCCCTCAAGTTTCTGCCCTGAGCAGAGAGGCGGCATGAGTGTCACATTCCCTGAACATCTGCCGGGAGCCTGGGTAATGCTTCTGCCACTGGAAGTCCCTGCTGTCCTGGAGTTTTTAATCTGAATGACAGCTCTAAAGACAAGCTCTGACATATGGGAGGCTGAGGCAGGAGGATCGCTGGGAGTTGGAGGCCACCCAGGGCTACATAGTGAGTTCAAGGCCAGCCTGGACTACATAGCAAGACCTGGGGGTTGGTGGAGGCTCTGTGTGTCCAGGGACACAGGGGACCAATGTGAGTGGAAGGAGGGCTGAGCAGAAGGGCAAGGCACAGGCAGCTTGTGGGCCTGGGTAGGGACTTCAGCTTTTCCTGCGGGTGAACTGGAAGGCACTGGAGGTCTGACTTTAATGGGGTCCCTGTGGCTGCTGTGGTGAGGATGCAGACTTGACGGGGGTAGAGGACAATGGCCAGGGTGACAGAGGCAGCTGTAAGCAGTGGGGCCTGGCTTAGGCTCTGCATGTGGGGAGGGACACTGAGCCGTCTGCTGTTAGTGGTGTGGTGGCTCCTCAACCCTTTGGGGTCTCCTGTACCTCTGCCCCCAGCCTTCCGAGGCCCCCAGGCAGCAGCTCCATTTGGGTTCAGCTGATCTTAGCCCAGCCCAGGGGCCACAAGCAGGTCCTCAGAGCTGGTCCTCTCCCTACATGACAAGCCCATCCCTGCAGCTCCCGTGGGACAATGGGTGGCTGCTGGAGGTGACATCCACAGGGCGCCGCTGTGGTACACCCAGCCAGGTTTGCTGCCATCTTACTGGCCTGATTGATTGACCTTCAGTGCCCCGTCTGCCGCTGCTGGCTCCTTGCCCACTGAACTCACTTCCTACCCTCTGTGGCTCCCCATTACCCTGGGAAGCAATAGGACTGTTCGCCTGGGAAGGCCAGCCCTGGCCTGGAGCCCTCGGTGCACAGAGCTCCCTGTCTGGGGGAAAGCGAGGCAGGAGTAGTAGCTGCCCACCATGCAGCGGACACGCACGACAGCCGAGTGAAGACACCCTAGGGCCTGGCACCCAGTCTGACATTTACCCCTGACGGTGAGCACCGGGTGGGATCGCTGCCCACTGTTCTGAGGAGGAACACGGGACAGAGATTGAGTGGCCCAGGGCTTGGCCATTCTTCTGGCTTGGAGTCCAGTTCTTTCTGGGCTTCACTGAACCTACTTAGTCCTGTGCTGGGGGCCCCAGGGACCCCCTGCCACCACCGCCATGGTGAGCCTGGGGCTAGGCCGCCATTTCCTGAGGCACAGAGCTGCCTCCTCCTGGGCAGAGGGCCTGGGGAGCCACACGGCCTGGAACAGTGCGTCCCACAGCGGGCTCTGGGAGGGCCCCAGCTCCTGGGAACTTTGGCCCCGGCTGCTGTGGGAAAGACAAGAAGACGAAGGTGGCTGGCACTTCGCAGGCCTCGCTGTCCCACCAGTGCCCAGACCGCACTGCTCCAGATGGGTCCCCCTGACTCCCAGGCAAAGCAGCTGGGCCTGGTGCAGCAGGTAAGTGGCGTCATTCATGCTGCAGAGTTACCATGGCCAAGAGCCACAGGCAGGTGGCTGGGGCCTCTGGTGTGGGCCCAGGGCTGGCAAGGACCCCATCATTTGTGCCCCCACCACCTTCTACCTTGGAAATCGGGAACTGGGGGTGGGGAGTGGAGAGCTCAGCCATGGACGTAGCCACTGTGCATTATATTCTGCACGCCCTGTTCCCTTACCGAAAGGTCTCGCCAGCTGCTTGTGCGTCTCAGCCAGCGCCGTCCGGATCCTGACCTAAGAGCAGCCCTGTCCCGTGCACTTGAGCACCAAGCCCCCCGGGGAGGCCGAATGGAAGGAGGGTGGCCAGGCCCAGGGGGCATCCCTGGAAGGATATCCGGATGTGAAACTCAGCAGCGTGAACCATTTGGAGCACATAGGTTGGGAGCATTGTGTGCTATTCTTGCTTTAATACATTGTTGCGTTAACTAAGTTACTATTGCCTTTTACACCAGCAGCCAAGGTCTGGGTGGGCACTCCGTGGCCTGGCCTGTGCTTAGAATGTGGGCCTGCGTGTGCATGCGCATGCACACACGCATGCACACACACACACACACACACACAGCTGAAGTTGTCTGACTCTGAACCTGGCCTCTGAACCCACCCCTTTTCTGTGCTGCAGCTGCCTCCTGAGTGTGCCACCCGGGAAAGTCCCACTGCGCACAGAGCTGCTCCTGCTGGGTCCTGGGGGTGGGGACAGGGGAGAGGGCTAGCCCAGCCCCCCTCTCTGCCTCCAGGAATCTGGTGCCCGTGCACCTGACCTATCCGGCCCTCCCCAGACTTAGTGACCCCTAGCCTGGTGCTGCAGAAGCCCTGCCTCCCCCCACCTGGCTTCCTCTCCCTTCCCTTCCCGCTCTCCCTCCTGAGCCTTAGCAGCTCGGCTTCCATAGCACTGTGAGTCTCATCTGCATAGTCCCGGGGTGGGGGAGGGGGGCAGGCTTCGCTCTTCCCTCCCTCGACACCTCTGCAGGCGCGTGGGAGGGGCAGTGACAGCCCCGAGCTTTCTCCTGGCAGCTGCCAGCCTCTGCCCTCCGGCCCAGGCCTGCTTACCGGGATCATTTGCAGGCCAAGGTCAGTTCCTGAGTAGTCTGGGAGCTCACAGGCCTTTTGAAGTCACCTGAGTGAGCCACATTTGCACCTGCCCTCGAGAAGCCCAGGAGGGGCTGGCGCCATACACCTGTAACCCTGGCACTCTGGGAAGCCAAGGCAGGGACATTGCAAGTTGGAGTTCAGCCTGGACCACAGAATGGGGCCCTGACTCACAGAGAAGCAGGGGTGTGGGGGACCTCACAGGGACCTCTCCCCGAGACTCGCAAAGCCTCGGTGAATAGGACTTGCCAGGTTACCTGGTGTCACCGGCCGCTCAGCCCGGGCACGAGTCCTGGAACTCGGGACTGCTGCTGTCCTCGCCACCGCCTGTATGGATGCGCAGCTGCTTTCACGAGGAGGTGACACAGAGCCCCGAACCCCCTTCCTCTGCCCCCCGCCCCCACTGGGGTCCCACCGTCCGGCATCCTTCGCTCTCCGGCTCCCAACGCCTCAGCTGGGCCTGTGAGTGTCGCGCCTTTGCCACTCCAAGTGCGTCTCACACCCAAGCTGCTGCCACTCCAGGCCTGTGCCGGGGAGGGGTGGCGACGGCAGGATCCACCGAGGCGGGGAGCCAGGGCACCCAGGAGTGAGACCGTGAAGGAGCGGGGGAGGCAGGAAGGCCGGAGGAAGGGGAGAGGGCAGAGACAACATCCTGGACCTGGGGACGGAAGTGGCCGATGGCCTCTGCGGGCTGTGGTAAACAGGACTCACCGCGCTGGTGAACGGAAGCTGCAAGGGGAACTGGCGACCTCTCGCCAAGCACGATGCAGCCTGACCTGGCGGCTCCACTGCAGGATTTGGTCCTGGAGATGCACTGCCAGCCACATGGAAGGGGGCGTTGCCGGGGTGCTCTTGGCGGTGGGCAGAGCAGCGCACAGCCGGGCAAGGGCTCCTGTGGCTCCTCTGTGAAATGGGGCACAGGGCTGCCTGTCCTATGCTGGGCTAGGGTTTCGTCTCTAGAACTACAAAAAAAAAATCATAATATATATATGGCGGGTGTGGGCGCACTTCTGTAATCCCAGCACCCAGGAGGCTGAGGCAGGAGGATCACCTTGAGTTCGAGGCCAGCCTGGACTACATAGCGAGACCCTGTAGTGTACTTAGAGAAGACCTTGCATGAGGACAGACGCATGAGCAGCTGTGCCAGGGTCAGGGAGCCCGAGAGGTAGGCAGGCTCCGGAGTGGCTCTGCCCATACCTCGGTTTTGGACTTTAGCCTCTGGAATGGTGAGACAATACATTGCTTTTTGTTTGTTGCTGGACTGAGGGTCAAACCCAGGGCCTACTGCATATTAGATAAGCATCCTCCCACTGAGCTGCATCCCCAGCCCGAATTTCTGGATCTCTCTCTCTCTCTCTCCTCCCTCCCTCCCTCCCTCCCTTCCTATTTGGTGGTACTGGGATTGAACCTAGGACCTTGGCACTGAGCTACATCCCCAGACTGCTTTTTATTTTCTCAATTTTCAGACAACCTTTTACTAAGTCACGAAATTGCCCAGGCTGGGGTCCAATTTACAATCCTCCTGCCTCAGACTCACAGAGTGCTGGGATTACAGACCTGTGCTGCTGCACCCAGTTCAGATTTCTGTTTTAAACAAACAACAACAAAAAAGACAGACATGAGAAAGGGATTAAAAGTAAGAAGATACGAAGAAAACAAGTGGGAAGTTACTTTGTGAAAGATTCCGAAGGGAGATGGAGAGAGAAAGGGAGGAGACAGGTCTGCAGAACACTGGAGCCCGTTAGAGCCGAGGAAATGTCACCCGGCCTGGGCCTGCGGCTGTCACAGTGAGGGCTGCCTCGTCTGGCACCGTCTGGCTGATGGATGCCAGGCTTCCGTGCCAGTGGCCTCCTGCATCCCCACTGCAGCTGGGCCCAGCTCCTGCACCTTGGAAGCCTCTGCCTAGACTTGTCATGGGGACCCAGAGCAGGTGGCCCTGGGCTGGGTTCGCTGTCTCTCCATTGACGGACTTTGCTCAGAGCCGGAGGACTGGGTGAGGGGCTCACACCCCGCCTGGCATGAACTGGGGGCTTAGGTCAGACGAGAAAGACTGCAGAGACTCAGGCCTCGCCAGGCTGGTGCATCGGGCACCCTGGCATCGCCCTTTCCTGCTCCTGCCAGGGGACAGGGCCACCTCCAGTTCAGTGGACTGGTGGAGCAGGGATCCGGGCCTGGGTGCTGCAGGCGGGGACAAGTGAGGTGCAGTTCCTATTGGCTCTAGGCTTCCTCCTTGACTGTCTCTGCTGTGGCTGGGAGGGGCCACAGCCCCCCCCCGGAATGGCGGGTTCTTCTGTCCAGTTTGCCTTTTTGCCTTGCTTCTCCCCGAGTGCAGCTGGGGCTGGGGCACTGCAGCGTTTCCCCAGCAGTCAGACAGGAAGCCGGGTTCTGTGCTGGGCACCAGGTGGGCCAGAGTGCCTGCCCTCGCAGTTGATCTCTGGCTGATGAGAGGGGTGAACGTAGAGCAGGAGAGACATGGGGTGGGGAGGTGTAGGCCGAAGGGTGTTCACTGCCGCACCACACTGGGTGCCTGGTGGGGGAGAAGGGCAGGGACATCCGGGCAGTGGGGACAGCCAGGCCCAGGGGCTAGAGCAGGGCAGGGCAGCCACATGGAGGGGCCCTAAGAAGGCCTGCATGTTGGGGTGGGGATGGGGGTCACCTGGTAAGAAGAGCTGAGCAGCAGCCGCCCCGAGGGCCCGGCCTGGCATCTGCTTCCAAAAGACCTACCCGGGGCACTGTGCAGAGCAGGGCCTCTGGGCAGCAGGAGGCGCATCCTGGTCTGGGGACCCTGTGCCATCGCCTGGGTGGGGCAGTGGGGCTGTAGAAGGTTCCAAGAGGTCTGTGGTCCGGGCACAGTTGCCGTGGCTGAGGGTGGGGTGGCGGGGCAGGGAGGCTGGAGCGTGAGGGGATGTGCTTTGTGCTGGGAGACAAAGGACAGAGCCTGGGGCCGCCCCGGGGCCGAGGCCGGGGCGGGGACTGTGAGGCTGTTGACTGCACCCAGGCTGAGGCTGGGACTAGGGCTGGGCCTTGATGCCCCCAGATACCCAGCAGGTCGGTGCCCAGCTGAGGGGTGGGGGGTGGCGGGCCAGGTGCGTCTGGGAGCAGATGGGGGCCCGAGGGGCGCTGAAGGGACCAGAGAGGGGTGGTGACCACTGGAGCCTGAGCACCCCTCGCCTCTTTCCAGCCCTGCCACTGAGGCCCCGAGTCCCCCCCACGGGGGCCCAGCAGGATGAGCAAGCTGCCCGGGGAGCTGGCCCGAGACCTGGAGCGCAGCCTGCCGGCCGTGGCGTCCCTCAGCGGGTCGCTGACCCACAGCCAGAGCCTCCCGGCACACTTCCGCCCGCCAGCCCTGGAGAAGCGCCGGGCCGTCTCCGACGTCCGCCGCACCTTCTGCCTCTTCGTCACCTTCGACCTGCTGTTCATCTCCCTGCTCTGGATCATCGAGCTGAACGTGAGTGGGACACGGCCCCGGGGCGGGGGGGGGGTCATCGGGCCTCAGTTTACCCCTCTGCCGTGTGAGGGTGCCTCCTCTCCCGTGGGGCTGATGAAGCGTTGACGATCCCAGCAGCTGCTGTCACCTTCCCGCTGAGGAAATGAGGTCACAGGCTGAATGAAGTCTTTGGGCCTAGGCGCCCCAGCCTTCGGGGTTGGGTGGGGAGGTATTGGTGCTGCCCCCTGGTGGACACCCTGAGAACATAGGTGGAGGGGACCAGCCCTGGCCCGGCTGAGGCCTGGGGCTTGTTTTGTTCGGCCCGGCCCGCCCGTGGTGCCTTCAGTTCATTCATTCACTGAGCAAAACGTTTGGAGCCCTGGCTGGGTCCTAGGCCCTGTGCTAACTGCAGGGGTACAGTGGGGAGGAGACAGTGACCCGCCGTCCCTGCAGCTCTGGTTTTGGTGAGATGCAACCTAGTGACCTGGAGACGGAGCTGCCTCAGCCTGCAGGGTCCCCCCCCCCCCCACGGAGCTGTCCCCCACCAGCTGACCGACCTCGGTGCCCCGCAGTCCTGGGAGCAGTGCCTCCCTGCAACCCCTGGCCCCTCCATGTCACCTTCCCCTACTGTCCCGGCTGTGGGGCCCTTCCTCCAGGTCCCAGGCTTGGGGGATGGGAAAACAATGCCTGTTTATTTGCTTCCTTGCTTGCTTGGGTCTTTTGTTTTGTTTTGTTTTTTCAAGTGGGTCTTGTTATGTTTCCCGGGCTGGCCTTGAACGTGGGAGCTCAAGCAATTCTCCTGCCTCAGCCTTCTGATTACCTGGGACTACAAACCCAGCTAACAATGCCCTTTTTTTTCTTTGTACTGCAGATTGAACCCAGGACCTTTGCTCTAAGCTACACCCTGGCCCTTTTCTTATTTTTTATTTTGAGATAGGTCCTTGCTAAGTTACTAAGTTGCCCAGTCTGGACTTGAACTTTCGACCCTCCTGCCTCAGGCTCGCAGAGTGCTGGGATTTCGGGCATGCATCACCATACCTGGCTAACAATGCCTTTCTTTTTTTTTTTGTACTGGGGATCGAACTCAGGTCCTTGCGCTTGCGCAGCAGGTGGTGAACCCACTGAGCTAAATCCCCTGCCCTGCCTTTCTTGATAGAAGTGAAATTTGGGGAAGGGCCTGGCTTAGAGACAGAGGGGACACTTTGGTTCCGGTTGTGTGGCTGTCCCTTTGCAGCAGAACTGAGTTTCCACAGCACGACAGGGCCATTGCCATGGGACACTGGGGACCAGACGTGGAGCCTTTGCAGAACTCCAGGGTCCTGGGAGTCTCCTTTCGAAGTTCCCCACTGGCTCCTGAGCAAATGCTGGAACCGTTCCCGCCCTGCGTCCAGTGTGTAGTTCATAACAGGAGCCGGAGCACTTCCAACCCCGGCAGAAGTTACCTGGCTGTTGGGGTGACGGCCGCAGGCTTCCTGCCTACTCCAGAATCCCTGCAAAGCGCGAGGATCTCACCTCCAAATTGTTTTCCAATATGATGACAACTTTCTGAACACCGGGTTTAACTATTCATAGGATTGCTCTGTCTCCCAAGCAGGCACTCAATGAGAAGGACACTCACTTCCAGTTGTCGTTTTATTCCTGTATCCTGGTGTGGGTACTGTCTGGTCCTCTGCCATCTGTGCTGCCCAGGGCACCTGGGACCCTGGTGATGCTCTGTGACTGGTGCAGGGACCGGCAAAGCAGGGGACCCCCCCATCCTGATCAGTGTTAGGCGGGGTTCAAAGCTCCGAGGTGGGGACTGCTCGGCCGGGTGGGGCCATGGAGCCCTGGAGCTGTCCTCAGAGGGAGCAGGAGGAGCGCTGGGGTGTGTGCCAGGCTGGAGGCCTTCCAGCCAGCCCAGGAGAGGGGATGTCAGGTGTGATGGGGCGTCTGCTGGGTCTGGAGCATCAGTCTGTCCAGACTGCTGAGTCCCCCACAGCTTTACAGGATTCCACCTGGGTTCGGGCTCCATGCCCTGAGCATCTGCTTCCTTCCCAAGACCCCCATGACCTGCAGGAGACCAGAAGCCCCCGTCGGTGGCTGCAGAGGGACCCCCACAAGGTTCCTGGGCCAAGGTCCCGGGGCCTCTAGTGTCCCCTCTTCTCCAGGGGCTCTGGCGCCTGTCCCTTCCCAGGAGCTGCCGCAGACTCAAGGCCGGGGTCTCAGAGGTCGGGTGCTGGTGGTGGCCAGCTGCCCGCCCAAGCTCCTTCTCTGATGGATTTTGCTCATTAAGCACAAACCTAATCAGGGTTACCTCCGGGGGCTCCAACTCACCACTCCCGCCCTGCTGGCCTGACGCCTAACGGATGCTGAGGGAGAGGAGCCACATGAGAGGCGGCTCCCTGCCTGGCCACCTGCCCTGTGCAGTGGCCCCAGCCCAGTCCAAGCCTCCAGGACAGAGCACTTGAAACCAGCTCAGCCCATTGGAGCTGCCTGCTGTCTGCCTCCTTTTGGTGTTGTAGTTGTTGTTTCTGTTGTTTTTTGAGACAGGATCTGGCAGTGTAGTCCAGGCTGACCTTGAAATTACTATGTAGGCCAGGCTGACCTGGAACTCACAGTAGTCCTCCTGCCTCAGCCTTCCAAGTGCTGGGAGGAAAGCCGGGCACCACCATGGCCCGCTGCTGCTTGAGCAATAGTTTTAGTACCCAGGGCCTCAGACCCTGGCGAGTCCCCTGTGGGTGGTGGCTTAGCCTTGCCAGCCTCCACTCCAGGTCTGTCCTGTCCCCAGAGGCAGGCCCTGGACAGCTTCAGGAGCTGGTTCCGCCTGCTGAGCTCTTCCTGTTTTCCTCCCAGACCAACACGGGCATCCGCAAGAACCTGGAGCAGGAAATCGTCCACTACCGCTTCAACACCTCCTTCTTCGACATCTTTGTGCGTGGGCTCGGGAGACTCGGGGCCCAGGGTGGGAGCAGCAACGTGTGGTCGTCTGGGTCCCCTTCTGCAGCTCACACCCTGAGTGACCAGGGAGGCTCTTCCCCCGTCCTGCAGAGGCCTCAGTCTTCAAGAGGTTCCTGGGGGCCCAGAGGGGAGGGGAGAGATGAGGGCCCTGTCCAAAGTCACATCCAGGAGCCAGGCATGGTGGCTCCTGCCCCTCATCCCAGCACTCTGGAGGCTGAGGCAGGGGGTTACGGCATAGCGAGGCCCTGTCTCCAAAAGCCACAAAAAAGCCAGTCGCACCCAGGTGATTCTGAGAAGCGCTGAGCCTGCTGTTCTCTCCTGAGGCAGAGGGGCGCCCTGGGGGCAGGGGCACTGGCTCACGCCGCTGGCACTCGCCCCTGCTAGGTCCTGGCCCTCTTCCGCTTCTCCGGGCTGCTGCTGGGCTATGCCGTGCTGCGGTTGCGGCACTGGTGGGTGATCGCGGTAAGATGCCCCTGCGCCACGGTGGCGACTGCACAGCCTGGGGCTGGAGTGAGGGAGGAGGAGAAGCCAGCCTCGCCGCCTCTCGCCCTGTGCCGCCCTGCAGGTCACCACGCTGGTGTCCAGCGCATTCCTCATTGTCAAGGTCATCCTCTCCGAGGTCAGTGGCCGGGGTCCGGCTGGCCCAAGGACTGTGTCTGCAGTGGGCGCCTGTGTGTGTTGGGCTGGGGTGTGGGTGGGCCCTGTCCGTGCTGGTCCTCCCTGGCTTGCCCCACTCACTCCCGGCCACCTTGGGAATCAGAGCTCTTCCTGCAGGCTAACTGCAGTTCGTGCCGCTGCAGATTTAGTCCCAGCTTAGAGGCCTGCGCTTAGAGGGTGCCCAATGTAGAGACAGCGCGGGGGCTGGGGGCCCCTGCCGGGGAGCTCAGCCCCTCTTCCTTCGTGTAGTTGCTCAGCAAAGGGGCCTTCGGCTACCTGCTGCCTATCGTGTCCTTTGTCCTTGCGTGGCTGGAGACCTGGTTCCTTGACTTCAAAGTCCTACCCCAAGAGGCGGAGGAGGAGCGATGTGAGTGGGTGCAGGGGAGTGAGGAAGGTCGCCCAGCCCAAGGAAGGGAGAGCCCTGGGAGACCTGGGTGTGGCCGTCCTCCTCTGGGACAGCCATGGCTCCCTTGCCTGCCCCTCAGGGTACCTGGCAGCCCAGGCAGCTGTGGCCCGAGGACCGCCGCTGTTCTCCGGGGCGCGCTCCGAGGGCCAGTTCTACTCCCCCCCAGAATCCTTTGCAGGTGAGGGAGGGGAGAGGGAGGGGCCTGGGGCTGTTCTCGCTGTTCCCGCTCAGCTCCCCGGGGACCGCAGCCCTGTCCCCCACGCTGTCAGCCCCCAGTCCTCACGCTGCGCTCCTGTCTCGACCCCCACCGCCTCCTACGCGCTCCCCACCCCTTGTCATCACTTGTTTCCTGCAGGGTCTGACGATGAATCAGACGAGGAAGTCACGGGGAAGAGAAGTTTCTCTGCGCAGGTACCGGGCTGCACACGCCCCACCCACCTGCCCCAGCAGCGGGCACCGCAGGACCTGGGCCAGGCCAACGGCGCTGGGGCTCAGGCCCCAGGGCCACTTGTGCCTGGGGACCCCGAGGGAGCCCGAAGGACCTCCGGGAGGGGCTGGGACGCGGAGGTGGGGGAGGGAACAGCCCCAGCCCGTCCCTGTCTTGGCCCCTGCAGGAGCGGGAGTACATCCGCCAGGGCAAGGAGGCCATGGCCGTGGTGGACCAGATCTTGGCCCAGGAGGAGAACTGGAAGTTCGAGAAGAGTAACGTGAGGAGCTTTTCCCCACAACCTCCGAGGCCAGAAACATAAACCTGAGGGCGGCTGGGGTCCTAGCCACACTTTGGCCCCAGGAGAGGGCTGGAGCGTGGCTTGGCCCCACTGCGGGAAGCCAGCAGCTCGGCTGCCTCCCCCCAGCTTCCTTCTGCCAGCCTCCCTCGGCTCTAGGCCCTGTGTCCACTGTTTTGTTCAGTGATCAAAACAACATTATCCAGGGACCGGGGATTTAGCTCAGTGGCGCCGAGCCTGCCTCGCAAGCCCAAGGTCCCAGGTTCGATCCTCGGTAGCAAAAAACCCCCAACATTATCAGAAAAGACTGGCGAGCTTGGGAGACAGAAACGTGGCCCAGTCCCTCCCCCGGGGACCTGCAGTGGCCCCGGGACGCGGTTCTGGTCACAGCCGCAGCTTGCTGAACTCAAGATCAAAGCCCCTCTCTGCCCTGCCCCACACCGGTCACAACCCCCACTCTTTAGTGGCCCTCAGATGTCCCCAGCTCCTTGAGTTCTCCCTGTGCCCCAGCCCTGCCATTCCGGCTCCCTGTCCCACTGCAGGAGCACGGGGACACCGTGTATACCATTGAGGTCCCCTATCACGGCAAGACCTTCATCCTGAAGGTGAGCGGGATACCCGGGCCTCCTGTTCTGTCGGGGACTCCCAGGAGAGGCGAAGGGCTGGCACCGAGCCCATGCCCACCCAGCCCTGTCCACCTCGCTCAGACCTTCTTGCCCTGCCCGGCGGAGCTGTTGTACCAGGAGGTCATCTTGCAGCCCGAGCGGATGGTGCTGTGGAACAAGACGGTGACAGCCTGCCAGGTGAGCCCACCTCGTGCCTCGGTTTCCCCCATCTGCAGGGCGGGGGCGTGGCCGTAGCACTACCGGAAGGCAGCGTGTGCATGGGGCCCAGCCCCGGGCCCAAGTGGGCAGCACCTCAGGACCCCTGTGGCCAGCAGATCCTGCAGCGGGTGGAAGACAACACCCTGGTCTCCTACGATGTGTCAGTGGGAGCTGCCGGCGGCGTGGTCTCCCCAAGGTGAGCGCCACCCCCCAAGATCTCCCACTCCAGACCTTGGGCTCTGCACCCCATTCTTTTTTTTTTTTTTAGTGGTAGCAGTTTTACATTTATTCGAGGTAGGAAAAATTAAAACTGAAAGAAGGGTAAGGAAGAAACTGGCTCTGCAGAGTGAACTTGGGCTGAGTAAAAGGAAGGAAATATAAAAACCAAAATAAACATATAAATATAAATCAAAGTACACCCTGGAGGACGGGGGCTTCTGCGAAGAGGCAGCTCTTCATGGCGCCTGTGTCCTTTATTGATTTACTGCCCCCATCACGGGTTCTCCGGAGCCCACACAGGGCCCTGAGAGTCATCTGTGCTCCCCTGTCCTAACCCTGCATCCCCCAGGGACTTCGTGAACGTCCGGCGCATTGAGCGGCGCAGAGACCGGTACCTGTCCTCTGGCATCGCCACCACACACTGCGCCAAGCCTCCGACGCACAAATATGTCAGGTGAGTGCGGCCAGCGCCCCGCAGTGGGCAGCGGACAGCAGCATCAGGACAGGGCTGGGCCGGAGCGGGCGGCCTTGTCGCGCTGGTTCCCCGGGCTGCCCTGCCCCTCTCCCTCCCCACCCCATCCCCGCTGCCCGGTGGCTGTTCTGGAACATGCCATGGGGCTGTGTGTGGGCCCTGCCACCGACTTGCTGGGTGACAGGATGAGGCATCCCCGCTGGGTGCCAGCTTCCTTATCTCTGGAGTGGACAGGAGGCAAAGGCTGGGGCCCAGGCCCTGACCCCCTCCCCCCAGGGCGCCCCCTTCTGAGCCTGTGGCTCCGTGCTGCTCCCTGAATTGGGGGGGGTGGGAAATGCCACCCAGTGCCACCCTTACAGCTGGCCTCGAGTCTCGGACAGGGCAGGTTGGGGCCGGGAAGGTGGCAGCTCCCTGCTCCCAGGGCTGTGCAAGTCGTCCACACCCCAGGCCAGGACGGGAGGGGAGGTGGGGGAGCGGGGTCCTGCTCAGCTCAGAGCCCCCGGCCCAGTGGTGCCTGTGTCCTCAGGGGGGAGAATGGGCCTGGGGGCTTCATCGTGCTCAAGTCGGCCAGTAACCCCTGCGTCTGCACCTTCGTCTGGATCCTGAACACAGACCTCAAGGTGGGGGCCAGGGCGGGGCTGGGACTCTGGCCCAGGCTCCCTTCTGACTGGAGGATGGGGTTGCGGGGGGCTCCCTTTCTTACCTCCGATCTCCCGGGCCCTGGGTGGGTGGCTGCCTGCCAGCCCAGCACCCCCCCCCCCGTCTGTTTGTGCGCCTTGTTCCAGGCGGAGGGCACAGCATGTTCCTCCTGCCAGGGCTGAGGGGAGAGGGCTGGGCGGGAGTCCAGGGCCACACCTGCATCCTGGCCCCAAACACCCCGCCGCTGTGCCAGCTGGGAGGAGGGCGGAACTGCCTGGGGCAGGCAGGGTGACTCCTCCCACCCCCCACAGGGCCGCCTGCCCCGGTACCTCATCCACCAGAGCCTGGCGGCCACCATGTTGGAATTCACCTTCCACCTGCGGCGACGCATCGAGGAGCTGGGGGCGCGGGTGTGACCGCCCTGCAGGCTGGGTTGCCACAGGCCCCGCCTGAGCACCTTGGGCACTCAGACTCGGGAGGAAGTGGGGTCTGACTGGAGCTACAGGGAAGGAGAGTGCTGTCCCCACCTTGCCAGAGGCAGGGCTGCAGGAGCAGTGGGGATCCGGATACCAAGGCCAGGCCAGGCCCAGGACAGCACAGGGCAGCTGGTCTTGAGGTTCCTCGGGCCTAGGCGGAGCCATCCCTCCTGGCCTCCTGAGTTACAGGGTCTTGGACCTTTGACCGCGTGCACTTTGGGGGCACAGGGGAGGGGGCAGTGACTGCCGCCCCGGGGCCTCCTGGGGACCTTTGTAATGTGAGTCAATTAAAGACAGGAATTCAAAAGAAAACGCATCCTCTGGCTCCTGCCACCATGGCCTGGGCCTGGCCTGACACAGCGAGGGCAGCGCTCGGCAGGAAAGAAGCAGCCACTGCGTCCAGAGACCTGAGTAGCAGCTCCGCAACTTCCTGCTGCAGTTGGCAGAGCTGGTGGCTTGGCAGGAGCTGTGTCCCCCAGTGTCGAGGGCCGAGGGCTGCGGGCCCGGCTTCAGTCAAGGGGGCCAGCAGTGCCCACGCCGCCCGTGCTGTCCCCAGGACTGAGGCTGGGTGGTCCGATGGAGGGGCCTCAGTCACTGGGGCACCTCTGGGAGCCTTGCCGTCTCCCCAAGGGGCAGTTTGCTTATAGCCGGGTGGGTCCTGTTTGGCCCGGGCTGGCTGGGTGACCCAGGATCTACTCTCAGAGCCTCTACTACCTGCTTTGTAAAAAACGAACCGGAGTAAGGCAGGTGTGGCAGTGCACCCCAGTGATCCCTGCACTCGGGAGGCTGAGGCAGGAGGATCAAAAGTTTGAACCCAGTCTGAACAACTTAGTGAGACCCTGTCTCAAAAAATAAAAAGGTTGGGGATGCAGCTCAGTGTGAAGGCCATGGGTTCAATTCCCAGTACTGCAAAAAATGACAGCGTCACAGGGTTGCTGTGAGATTAACAAGTTGAGTTTGGTGCCTCCGTAACCAAGCCAGGCTCTGTCTCCAGCTGTCCCCACGGCTCCGCTGTTGCTGCCTCTGCTGATGCTCTGCTCGGCCCACCCAGCGGTGCCCTCCTTCCTCACCGCTCTCCCAGCACCCTGCGCACCAGCAGCCTGTGCCAAGGGTTCTTGCCCGGATGCCGGTGCCCACAGCATCTTTGCCTCTGGACGCCTCCTCTGATGCCCAGGAAGCAGCAGAAATGAGGCTCAGAGAGGCCGGGCGCCCCCCTGGTCACAGCCGCTCGGTCACAGCCACTCATGGCCCTTGTGGGGCTCCAGCCAGGTCTGTGCCTGCGCTCATGTCCCTGTCTCCCCTTGTCCCCACATGGGTGTTGAGGTCAAGCTGGGGGCCGCCTCCCACTCCCGCCTCTGCTGCCCTGACCTGAGACCTCTTCTCTGACCACTGACTGGGCAGGAAAAGTACCGGGCAGAGGTTTGTGCCTGGGGTCTCAGGTGTGGCGTTCATGTCCCCTCCCCTGCTGGAGCGGCAGTGGAGGCTGGAAACCTGGTCCCAGAGTGGCCGGGGTGGGGTGCCCTTGACCTGAGGAGACAGCAGGGAGGGACAGCACCCTGTCACAGCGCGGGGGACAGCGGTGGCTGCTGTCTCCTGTTTACAGACAGGCACCGCCGTCCTCCCCGGCAAGGGGAGTGGGTGGGGCAGAGCATGGCTAGGGTGGCACGGGGCTGGGCATGTGCCTGCCCTGATGGTGCCTTCGGGGTGTCAGGCACCTGGGGGTGCTGCCTTAGGGACCTCAGGCCCCCCAGAGCATCTTGGTGCCTCTGGAGGCCGACCTCTGACCTGGGGGGCAGCTGGGGTCCCGGCACCCCAACCCCCACCCCAGACTCAGAGCCCCCCCAGATCAGTGAGTCTCCAGCTGCTTATAGCATCTGACGCCAGAGGGGCCGAAAATAGCCCCGGAGGGGACAGGGGGCGGGGGAGGGGCTACTTAAAGGGCCTGGGGGAGCCTGCGGAGCCCAGAGCGACAGCCACCATGGCCGCTTCAGAGCTGAGCTGTCAGGTGTCGGAGGACGACCGGGAGCGGCGGGAGGCCTTCTGGGCTGAGTGGAAGGACCTGAGCCTGTCCACGCGGCCCGAGGAGGGGCGAGTGCCCAGGGAGCCTGGGGTGCCCGGGTGGGGGCCGGCAGTGCCCACGGGGAGGCCCCAGCAGCTCACCGCCTGCCTCCCCACCACAGCTGCTCCGTGCGTGAGGAGGACCCCCTGCGACACGAGGCCTACCACCAGCAGGGCCAGTGCCAGGCGCTGGTGCAGCGGTCGCCCTGGCTGCTGATGCGGATGGGCATCCTGGGCCGCGGGCTGCAGGAGTACCAGCTGCCCTACCAGCGGGTGCTGCCGCTCCCCATCTTCACGCCCACCAAGGTGGGGGCCGCCAAGGAGGAGCGCGAGGAGACCCCTGTCCAGCTGCGGGAGCTGCTGGCACTGGAGACGGCCCTGGGCGGCCAGTCCCTAGATCGCCAGGACATGGCTGAGATCACCAAGCAGCTGCCACCTGTGGTATCGGTCAGCAAGCCGGGCGCCCTCCGCCGCACGCTGTCCCGCTCCATGTCCCAGGAGGCACAGAGAGGCTGAGCACAGCAGCGACCCAGGCTCCACTGTGCCCACCCCAGGCGGGGCCCTTCCCGGCTGGGGCCACGGAGGGAGCTGCTGGCCGCGGACGCTTTGTAGTTTGCCCAGAGCTGGGGGCTGGGAGGAGGGAGCCAGAGGCCAGGACGCCTGAGTCCCCTGAGTTCCCCAAGAGAGGGGGGCGAAGATGGTGGGCGCTGGGGGTGGAGAGCAGGAGGCCAGCACAGCCGAGCAGCCTCAGCCCCAGGGGAAGGGACAAGGGACACCGGTGAGGTCTGAGCCTCGGAGGAGGTCAGGGACAGGTGGGAAGGATCTAGAAGGCTCCAGAAGGCAGCTTGGAGGAGACGGAGGCAGGAGGATGTGCAGAGAGCAGAGGTGGGTGGGCCCAGCACCCTCTTAGCGCTGCAATAAATGCTCAACCCTGTTCGGTCTCCTCCGCCTCTTGCTGCCTGATGTCTTCCTGGGAGCCCCTTGGGGTGGGTGCGGACAGCTCTGTAGACAGGGGCGACCTGTCTGGTGCCCTTCCCTACCCCTTCTGGCTCCTGGGTCCACTCCTTGGCACTGGGCAGTGTCCGGGAGGCCAGCTGGCATTAGGGTTTGTTTAAATGACACGGAGAGCGTGGAGGGCTGGCACCAGGACTCTCCTTGGCCATGGCTGCTGTGGACAGGGTTTGGGACCCTGAGGTTTCAAACGCGGACCTGGATGGCATCAGGACCTGGCTGGGCCCTGGCCCGCCCTCTGCCTGGTGGGCTGTGTGTGTGTGTGGGGAGTGAGGTCGGGTTCCTGTCTGGGACCTGCAGCTGCTGTGGTGACTCAGGTCCCAGCAGGGACACCTTCTCCTCGGGCCCAGCTAGCGGGCCGGGCCGAGGGCTGATCTCGGAGGCCAGGCGCCTATTCAGCAGGGAGTCACTGCTGGTAAAATCAGCCCCCAGGCCCGTCAAGGATCGCTGTCAGTTCAAGGCAGCCTGGCCTGTCTCAGAAACAGAAAACAAAAACAGAATCGGGCTGGGGATGTAGCTCAGTGGCACTGCACCTGCCTTGCAAGCTCAAGGTCCTGAGTTCGATCCCCAGTACCAAAAAGAAAAAACCAGAATCAACCTCCCATTTGGGGAGTGCAGGGGCTCTAGGAGCTGAAGATGGGGAAACTGGGGCGCAGACAGGACCTGCAGGCCTGGCCTGATCTCGCCTGGTGGGCAGGAGAGGAGTGGGGAGCCAGGCAGAGGCCCCCCAAGCCTGGGCCGACCCACCTCAGCGGGCAGGATGTCCCAGCCTCTGTCCTTGGCCCCAGATAAGCAGCGGCCCAGCCACCCCCTCTCCCCCCCTCTCCCCCGCTCTTCCCCCAGCATCAGCGCTGCTCCCCTCCCTCTGCTATCGCTGCTGCCATCGCCTCGGCCGAGCGCCCAGACCAGGCCTGGACGCTCTGTCCCTGAGGTCGGGCGGGGCGGGGGGGGAGGAAGGCAGCGGGGGGCTGCTGGGGGGGGTCCGGGAGGAGGGAGCAGGATGGGGGTCTGAGCCCCGTGGGAAGGGCTGGGGGTGGGGATCAGGGACAGGGGCTCATTCAGACCTCGAGGGAGGAAGGGATGAGACGCTGGACACAAGGGGCTGATGGGCAGGCCGTGGTGGGACTCGGCTGTCACCCCAGCCCTCTGGAGGCTGAAGCAGAAGGATCGAGCGAGCTGGGGGCTGCAAAGTTCAGCCCAGCCAACGTAGCGAGACCCGGTCTCAAAAATCAAATAACAGGGCCAGGGATTTAGCTCAGCGGCAAGGTCCTGGGTTTGATCCTCGGTACAAAAATAAAAGGGGGAGCGGACAGTGGGCGGGGCAGGACCCGCCAGGGCACACGGGGCGGCTCCTGGACTGTGGGACCCGATGTCCCGGCGCCCCTCCTCCCCGGAGAGGGAGACGGATGGTGGCGAAGCGCGTGGCCCCGGGCGCTCATCGCTCAGCCGCCCCCGCACGGAAGGTCTGGGGGCGGTGGACATAAAGGGGCCGAGGTAGCGCCAGGCTCGGCGGGCGGCAGGATGAGCCAGGAGGACCCGAGCCCCGAGAGCGTGGCCGCCGCCTACCAGCGCTTCGAGCCCGCCGCCTACCTGCGCAACAACTACACGCCCCCGCGCGGCGACCTCAGCCACCCCGGCGGCGTGGGGCCCTGGAAGCTGCGATGCCTGGCGGAGACCTTTGCCACGGGTGAGCCGGGGAAACTGAGGCCCGGAGAGGAGCAGTCGGCAGGCAGCCACAGGGGCGCACGAGGGGGCGCCAGTGCCCGGGGCTGAGGACCAGGCAGGGATAGGACCAGAGCCAGCAGGTGCAAGCGGGAGGAACCATGGGCGCGGCACTACTGGGGAGACTGAGGCAGGATTCCCAGGCGTTAACGGCCAGCCTGGGCCACATAGCCAGACCCTGCCTGCCTGTGTGTCTGTCTCTGTCCCTGGGTCCAGCGCCTGGCTATGTAGTTCAGGCTGGCTTTGAACTTGCTATGCAGCACAGGCTGCTCTCAAGCAGCAACCCTCCTGCCTCAGCCTTCCCAATGCAGGGATCACAGGTGTGCAAAGACCATCTCAGCAGAAGAGCGAGGAGAGCAGAGAGGTGGAGAGAGGGAGGTTGGAGGGGGGATCTCAGGACTGGAGTCAAGTGGGATGCAGGAGACAGACGGGCACAGACCCTCGCGGTGCTGGGACCTCCCCACTAACCCAGGTGAGGAGCAGGGTCGGAGGAGCTAAGGGTAGTGCTTATTTGGACAAGAGGGCTTGGGCAGGGGGCTAGGCGCGGGCTCAGCGAGGCCCAGGTGGCCGGCCAGCTGCACAGAGCCCTGCTGTGCCCGCCAGGGGAGGTGACCGGCCGCACCCTCATTGACATCGGCTCGGGCCCCACCGTGTACCAGCTGCTCAGCGCCTGCGCCCACTTTGAGGACATCACCATGACCGACTTCCTGGAGGCCAACCGCCGCGAGTTGGCGCGTTGGCTGCGCCAGGAGCCGGGTGCCTTCGACTGGAGCGCGTACAGCCGGCACGCGTGCCTGCTGGAGGGCCGCGGGTAAGGAGGGCGGGGCGGGGCGGGGAGCGGCGGGGCGGGGGCGGGCAGCTTGAGCCGCCTCGTGGCCTGCAGCGAGTCCTGGCGGGAGAAGGAGCGCCAGCTGCGGGACCGCGTGAAGCGCGTGCTGCCGGTCGACGTGCACCAGCCCCAGCCCCTGGGCGCCGCCAGCCTGGCGCCGCTGCCCGCCGATGCCCTGCTCTCCGCCTTCTGCCTGGAGGCCGTGAGCCCCGACCTCGCCAGCTTCCGCCGGGCCCTGGGCCACATCACCACGCTGCTGAGGCCCGGGGGGCACCTGCTCCTCATCGGGGCCCTGGAGGAGTCGTGGTACCAGGCTGGGGGCGTCAGGCTGGGGGTGGTGCCCGTGAGCGCAGGGGCGGTGCGCGAGGCTCTGGTGCGGGGCGGCTACGAGGTCCGGGACCTCCGCACCTTCGCCATGCCCGCGCCGCTGCAGACCGGCGTGGACGACGCCAAGGGCGTCTTCTTCGCCTGGGCCCAGAAGCGGGCAGGAGTGTGAGGGCCCAGGGACCCCAGACGCCCTGTCCCCCAGGTGGCACCTAATAAAGTAACCGTTCCTGCTCTGAGTGCCAGCCGAGTCTGACACGGGCGAGCGCCGCCCCCCGCCCCCCCGCAGGGAGCGACTCTGCCCATCGCTCCCCCAGCCACGCAGGCCAGCTCCTCCCCACACCCACACCGAGCACCTCAGAGCGGGTGCAGGGCCAAGGCTGTGAAGTCAGAAGGCCAGGCCGAGAGGAACGGGCGGGGTGGGGGGCGTCCTGTGGACCAGGCCCAGGAAGCAAGGGCAAGGCCCAGCCCAGCCCCGGGCCTCCAGTTCCCCTCGGACACAAGCGAGCCTGACGAGGCGAGGCGGGGAGAGGAGCGGGTTTATTAGCGCTTCCCGTGCCGCGCCCCACCCACCGTGCGGTGGGGGGGGGCGGGTGTCTCAGAGCCCTGGGGTCCTACTTGTAGCGCAGCCCCTGCCCCATGGGGGAACCGCGGCTCCGGGCGCCCCAGCTGCCCCGGGATGGAGTGTCCTGGCGGCCAGGGCAGCCGGCAAAGCCCGAGTCACCTGTGCCAGGACGCGGGCAATGTGGCCCTGCCTGCTCTTGAGCTGCTGTGGCACAAAGAGCCCGTCTGGGAGGCAGAGCCAGTCCCAGCCACAGCTTTCTCCTCTCCTTCCCCAAAATGCCTGCTGCCCCCCAAGTCCAGGCTGGCAAAGGGGAGGGGGGCCTTGCCAAGCGACAGGGAGGCCGGAGAGGGTGGCCCCATGTTCTTCCCCTGCCCTGCCCTGAAGGCATTGGTTCTGGGGGGCTCTCCGGTTGTGTGGGGAGCTGGGCACGGTGGGGCTCGCCTGTAGGCCTAGCACTTGGGAGGCTGAGGCAGGAGGATCGCCATGAGTTCAGGACCAGCTTGGGGTCCACAGTGAGTTCAAGGCCAGCCTGACTACGTAGCAAGACCCTGTCTAAAAGAAAAGTTATGTGGGGTCCTGTGAGGTTTGAGGGGGCAGCAAAGGGCACTGCCCAGGAGCACACACGTGCAGACCCGGTGCACACCCGGCCTCTGCCTGGCTGCGGCCAGGGGCACGGCTGGGCTCTGCCGATGACCCTGACCGGGCCGCCCCGCGCCCAAGCCCCGCCCCGTGGCACACGCACTTGCTGTCACACTCAGCCCTCACTCGCACCCAGTCTGCGCAGCCCCCTCCCACCCCTGCACCCGCCCACTCCTGTCTACACTGCCCCCACGCCGAGCGAGCTCTCCATCGCCTCTGCACTCACTGGGCCCGGCCCCTCGGGGTCCTTCCCTGAAGGGGGTGAGGTGAGGCCTCAGAATCGGGGTGCAACACCTCCCCAGGCCCCGCCCCAGGCCCAACTGCGCGTTCCCTGCGACCCCATGGGGGAGAAACTGGCCCTCAAAATGGGTGCAGCGCAGGCATCTAGCGCCACCTGGTGGCGCCTTGCGGGAGGGCGGGGCAGCAGAAGGAGGCCCCACCTTCGGGACCTGGGTGCCAGGTCACCAGGAGAGGGCCTGGCTGGGGGAGCAGAGACAGCGCTTCCTGCTCTCCTGTCCTGCACAGCGCAGCTGCCCTGGCCCATGACAGGGAGGCCATCGTCCGTGCGAACAGTGAGAGGTGGGCGGCTGCGTGAGTGGGCCCACACCCCTCAAGTCCGAGTTCAGGAAGCTAAAAGGGCTCAGGAGGCTGAGGCAGGAGGTTTGCTGTAAGTTCAAGGCCAGCCTGGACGACATAGCAAGACCCTGTCTCAAAAAATAAAAAAGCTAAACGGCTAAAATCCATCATCCCGGGGAGTGGGCGGCAGCCACCAGGGTCCTCAGTGCAGCTTGGATTTGGCCTCGGTCTCCCTCAGCAGGTACAGGCTGTCGTCCTCCAGGAAGCTGTAGAGCAGGAGGGTGCGCGCTGAAGCTCAGCTCGCTCTGAAAGCTGCGCGGTGCGGGGTGCCGGGGGTGCAGGCAAGGGGGGGGGCAAGCGTGGCACCCACCTGAAAAAGAGGACGTGCAGGGGGATGGTGCTGATATGCCAGATGGCGTGGGCATCCAGGACCCAGAAGAGGGGCGGGAAGTCGAGCAGCTCGAGCAGCGACAGCCCCTGCAGCAGCAGGACCACGGCCGCGCACTTGCGTGCGTGCGGCAGCCGCCGGCCATTCCGCAGGCACCAGCCCAGCCACCACGCCACGTTCGCCAGGCCTGGGGCGCAGGGGCTGTGTCACCGCCATGCTCGGGACCCTCCCCCGGCCTCACACTGCCCCCTGGCGCCCCACCCTGCGCATGCCCGGCCCAGGCTCACCAAGGGCCACGTTCGCCACCATGTTGTAGCCGTAGTCGAAGCGGACCAGGCTCAGGTAGGACACGTGCGCCGCGAGCAGGAGCAGCAGGAGGCTCCGGAAGGCGCTGGCCACGGCCGGGCGCTGCAGCCCCACGGTCCTGCACCGGAGAGCGGCTCAGGGGCGGCCCGGCCCGCGCCCCCCCACCCCTGGAAGACAGGTGGCCGCCCCCCCGAGTCCCATCCAGGAGCGGAGTGTGGGGGACCCGAGAGGACGCTGGGGACCGCCTGAGACCCCGCGGCCACCAGCACGCCCACCTGACACAGCACAGGTAGATGGAGTGCAGGATGACGGCCGAGGCGCAGAAGTAATCCATTTTCTGAGGACGACAGCGCCGTCAGGGAGGTGGGGGGCCGTGGGGGTGGGAGGGGACAGGGCCTGGACTGGCAGCGCCCGCGCCTGCCCCTCTGCTGTTTCGAGGGCCAGGCTACGAAACCCGGGCACTGCCTGGTCCCAGTTGCACCCGAGTCTTAGCTGGGTGTCCCTGAGCAGCACCCGATTCCCTCCTCCGAGGCCCTGAAGGGTCAGGAAGGCTGGGCGCCCCTCCGCCGGCCGGCCTCTGAGTGCGGCAGGCAGTGCCACTCACCTCTGTGAGCTCCGTGTCCCTGGTGTGGAAGACGGTGGACCAGAACCAAGCATTGAGGGACACCTGGGGGACGGGACAGGACAGTGGCTGTGCCACCCCCTCCCTGGGCAGGGCTTCTGTGGGGTGAGAGGCGGACTCTCCTGTGCCCCCTGCACCCCCAGCCACATCTCTCTGGGCCACGCCCACCACCCCAAAGCCCCAAACCCTGGGGGCTGTGGGCGCCACAGGTCCCGCCTGGCCTGGGAACCAGTTCTGGCAGAGCCAGGTCCCCAGTTACCTAACTGCTAAGACAACAGCCCCCAGGGGCTGCGCCTCCACCCCCAACGCCAGCCCCACCTGGCCCAGTGCAGTGCGGTGACCTCAGCCTCCGGGGGCGGGTGGGGAGCTGGGGCAGATGAAGCTGGGGCGCGGCTCATCCCACCCCGGCCCAGGCACTGTGGCCCACCTGGCCGGCCCAACCCGCCAGACCAGAGACTGCTGGGGCCTGGGAGGGGCCAGGCATCGGAGGGGCCCCGGTGGGCCAGGGCTCAGGGCCAGGCTGGAGGCCATCCTCCCGGAAACTAGATGCCTGCCCAGCACAACTCAGCTGGCAGGGGAGCCTGAGGTCTCATGGGAGTTGGCACTGGCAGCGTCCTCAGGGAAGGGTGGGCTGGGCTGGAGACCCCGTGGAAAGCTGGGGACAGTGACAGTGAAAGGCAGGGACAGCAGGGCCAGGCCAGGTGTGCCCGAGGGGGTGAGGGACGCCTAGGAGGGCGGGCCCGCCCAAGCCAGAGAGGCTGGGGCTGCTCACTTAAGCATCAGCTCCAGGAGCCAGGCAGTGGCCGTGGGCAGGAAGCTGCTCCACTGGGAAGAGGAGGAGACAGCAGGGTGGAGGCTTCTTGCCCACCTGCCAGGGCGGGAAGCCCCAGGGCCTCTGCCGCCCCCTCTGCCCAGGCTTCCAGGACGGATGGGGTGGTCCCAGTGGTCCACGTGCCTTCCTGGCCTGCTGACCCCTCTAGACGGGGTCACTGCCCCCTTCCAGGGTGGCCACGCTGTCCCTGCCCCAGACAGGCATGGGGGCACAGGCCTAGGCCAGAAGTGGGACTGACAGGGGCTCCTTACGGCCCGTGCTGTGCAGGGCCAGAGGGAGGGAGGGGGCCATGGGCACGGGACTTAGGGAGCACTGTGGGAGGGGCTGGCAGCCAGCCAGGCCTCCTGGGCACCCACAGACGCTGGGGGAGGTGACAGGACGCTGGAGCAGGGCTGGAGCACAGAAGGCAGGGCAGCAGGTGCCGGGCCAGGCCTCAGCTCCACGGGGACGGCATGCGCACAGGTAGGGGCCTCCAGGTCCCCTGTGCACCGCCCCCGGCGCCTTCCACTAGAGACCTGCCCTTAGCCAGACTCCGACCCCAAGAAGGCCGTGTGCCCCGGGGACTCCCCATCACCGGGTGGCTTCCTCTCAGCCTGGGAGGCAGGGGGATCAACAGTGCAGGCCCTGAGCCCGGCCCTGCGCTTCCTGTGTGAGTTAGCTTTGCTGGCCTCGGTTTTCTGGTCTGTAAAATGGGAATAGTCAGTGCCGATCAGACTGGAGAGCCGACACACACAGGCGGGGGCCATTGCCAGGGACGGGGGAACCTGACGTGTTATTCTCTCCCCCAGGCCAGCACAGTGCCCCCAGCCCTCACAGCCCGGGCGGAGGAGACCATGTCTGTGGGGCATGGTGGCGCGCACCTGCAAACCCCGCACTTGGGAGGCTGAGGCAGGAGGATGGCAGCAGGTTAGAGGCCAAGCTGAACTACACGGCAAGACCCTGCCTCAAAACTAACACACAAGCCAAACAACAGAAACCAAGTCGTCCTGCTAGTCTCCCTCCAGGCCAAGGGGGTCCGGGCTAAGAGGCTCCGCCCCACAGGCTGGGCACAGAAAAGCCCAATCTGCGCAGTGAGACACTCTGCATCTGAGTCCTGCACCGGCAGTGTGTGCATGCGTGTGTGTGCACGCATGAGACCAGGGTCACCCTTGGTCGCTCAAGCTGGCCTTTAGCACCTGGGCTCAAGCGCTCCTCCTGCCTCACCCTCCTGCCTAGCTACAGGCCTGCGCGGCCACGCCTGGCTCAGCTGTGTTCGTGAACACGTAACTGAGCATCTGTGACTCAGTGGCCTCCATTAGGTCAAACCGGGTCGGACACAGCACCCGCATCACGGGAGGCTTCGAGGACGACTTGGATGGTGGCTGTTGCTGCTGCCAGGCGCATGGCAGGTGTCTCGTACGTCCCAGTTTCCTGCCTCCATCCCCGCTTGGGTCACAGAGTTCCGTGTTAGACCATGGTCCCCACCCCAGAGTGCAGACCTCAAGGCTACAGGCAGAGCCCCCAGGCCTCCTGGTGGTGCCTACGCACACTGCTTCTCCCCGAGTTGATCACCGAGGAGAGGGCACGCGGGGACTGGAGAACAGGGGACCGGGCCAGGCGCCCCTTGGGTGGGGACGCAGGGACGGCGAGGCTGGCAAGAAACTCTTTCAGTCTGCCGGCAAATATAAGAAAATTGAGCCCAAAATATCCCAGCCGTGAAACTGGATGTCAAGTGAGCCAGCTCTGTCAGGAATTCGACCCCCGTGCTAAGCCCAGGGCTCGGCTGTCCCTGACACCCCGGCGGTGGGGACAAGTGGGTCTTTAAATAGCTCGGTGTCTCAGAAGTGGGGGAGGCAGAATGTTAAATATGACGCCCGCTGCCACCTGCCCCTCCCGACACCCAGGCTCTGTGCCCGCTGCGGCCTCAGGCAGGGGTCTGCCCTTCCAGATCACGCCCGGGGGAGGGGGCTTCTTTGTCATCAGGTTCTGTGCCCACGGAAGTCCTCCCTGGGCTCCACCCGCCCCCTGCTGCACGTGCCCTGCCTCTCCCAGTGCTCCCAGCTCCACAAATCATGGCCCAGAGCAGTTTGGGCTTCCCTGCCACTTCCTCCTCACACCTTGGCCCAGGACCTTCCCCCTCCCTCTCTCCTGAAGGAGTGCGGACTGCTTCAGCCTCCGGGCCTGGCAGAGGGGGAAGTTGAAGGGCGCAGTGTCAGAGCTTTGGGGCACCAGGTCCTGTGGGCTGCTGCCTCCCAAGCCCACCCTCTGCCCCAAGACTGAGGGTCTCTGTGTTTCCAGGAGAAGGAGGAGGACCCGCCCTGCAGAGCCCAGAGCCAGGGCTAGGCACAGAAATCAGGGCGGCCTGCTCCAGAATACCCAGCCAGCCAAGGACAAAGTCCTGGCCACACCCTCTCAGAGCCAGGGCTCCCTCCGGAGAGGACACATGGCTCAGGCTCAGGCTCAGGCGTAAAAGCCAAACAGGGTCATCCAGGGCTGATGGGGGCCTGCAGGCCTCTGAGATGAAGGGTCTAAGAGGCAGGGAGATCTAGGGGAGTCCAGTGTGGACTCGGCAGGCTGAGGCAGGAGGATCGAGAGTTCAAGACTAGCGTGCTGCTGTGACCACTGGCCTTTGCGTGGTCATGCAGCCAAAGGCTGGGCCTCTCCAAGGGCCCCTCAGACCTGTAGTGCGACCATACTGTTCCTGATAAGAGGGGTGGGGAGAGGGACAGTGCAGGGGGCTCTACCAGGAAGGCTCTGATCTAGAAACATCCAACACACCCTGATGTCCCCTCGCCCAGGTCACCACAGTCGCTTCTGCACTGTGTCTTCTCCGATTCCAGGCCCTGGACCCCAATCCACAAGGCTAGGAGCGGATGGTGCTGGGGCCACGCCCTACAGCCTGAGCTGGACCTGAGGTGGCCCCAAGCCCTCCCAGGGGCCCAGGGAAGCCCCGTGCTCCCACGCGCATCCTCCCAGCCACCTCCCATCTGCAGGTGCAAACTGCCCGGTCGCTCTAGCCCCTCTTTCCCAAACAGCTGGGCCCAGGACGCCGCTGCAGTGAGCCCTGCACAGCCCAAGCCCTGCGGTGCCCACGGGAGATCAGAGGTCCCCCTTCCTGGACCAGGTGCCAGGCAACCTACCCAGGCGAAGGCCACGCATGTGTGGTACATGGGTGACGAGGCTGGCACGGAGGTGCGGTAGTGGCAGAGCATCACCAGGCCGGCCAGGCCATTGAGGAAAGAGGCCACAGCAGAGGCTGGCTCTTGGAAGAACAGGAACCGGAAGAAGGGCCACTGGAAGGGAGAGACGGAGCGGCCCTAAGCACAGCGACCCCAGGCGGCCCAGGGGACTGAGCTTCGGCCCCAGCCCCTCTCACTTTTCCACTTGGGGACATTTTGAGGATCGCCATGACTTCAAAGCCAGCCTGGGCTACACAGTGAGTTCAAGGCCAGCCTGAGCTAGACGGCGAGACCCTGTCTCAGAAAAGCAAAGCAAAGCAGCGGACCCTAAGAGCTGGTATGCGCCCCAAACCCCCGGCAGCCCACACCCCAACTGCTTGGGTGGACTGCGGGCTCCTCACTCCCACCGACCCTGCCACTCACCTTGCCGTGGAACTGGGGCACCCTGTGGCCCTCCTGGAGGTAGAGGCCGACGGTGAACCACATGCAGTTGTATGTGCAGTCGTCGCGGCAAGTCCAGCCTGCAGAGACAGATGTGGCCGTGGGCCCCGAGGCACAGGGCGGGCAAGGTGGAGGGGAGGTGGAGGAGCCGGGAGCAAGCTGGCCACTGCGGGAGAGGCGGGCACCGGGGAGCCCCGTGTGTGTCTAGGTGCACTTCCATTTGGGCACAGGGATCAACGGAGGTGTTCCAGAGACGAGCCTGGCATCCAACAGCCTGAGCTACAGACCCGAGGGTGACACTCACCAACCCACCAGAAGGAGCTCCGGCTGTCTTATTCCCCTCCCATGAAAAGGAAGCGGAAATCCTTCATTTTGACTCTTCTTTTTGGTTTTGTTTTTTTTTGGTACCAAGGATCGAACTCGGGTCCTTGCGCTTGCGCAGCAGGCTGCGAAACCACTGAGCTAAATCCCCGGCCCTCTTTTTGGTTTTTTGAGGCAGTGTCTCGCTGTGTAGTTCAGACTGCCCTCACGCTCACGGTTCTCCCGCCTCAGCCTCCTGAGTGTGGGGACTACAGCCATGTGCCACCACCCTGGGCTTCCCCCTGACTTCTGAGGTTCCAAACTGCCTTTCCACCTTTCTGGCCACTGCTCATTTCAGAGCCCGTCTGGAGCGGAAATGGGTAGGAGGAGGACAGCGTGTGGCCGAACAGGACGGAACTGGAAGCTGAGGCCTTAGGGACGGGACCTAACCTGCGAGTCTCCAGCCGGGAAACTGGGTTGGAGAGGCTACTTCAAAGGGCGGTGAAAGTTAACTGAGCCGCGGTGGCACCTGTCACATGGCAGGTGCTCGGTACATCAGCTCCTCGCCCACTATGGTCGTGAGTCCAAATGTAATCCACCCATCTGGGAGCACCACCTTCAAAAAATGCCCCTACCCCCACCCCGCAAAGCCTGAATCCGTTTCTTCCTCTTCCCAATCCATCCAGTCCTTAACCTAGGGTGCTTTAGGATTCAAATCATTCTGGACTTGTTTTCTTTTGAGGCAGGGTCTCACTATATACTTCAGGCTGGCCTTGAACTCACTACGTAGCCTAGGCAGGGCTCACACTCCTGGGGATCCTCCTGCCTCAGCCTCCCCAAGCACTGGGATGACAGGCTTGAGCCACCACGCCCAGGTGGCATGAAGTATTTAATAAATACTGGTTTGACTGAATAAAAAGTAAAAATGTCCGGGGTGATGAGACACCATTAACCTGGAGGAGTCACTCACACTCATAACAAACCCAGGTGGGGAAACCAAAGTTCAGAGATTGCAAAGTACGGGGGCGATGGGCGGGGCCACGATCAATGGGCGGGGCTCGCCAAGAGGTGGGGCCTACCTGCTAGACTCATGTAGATTGGCTGGTGGGAGCGGAAGTGCTTCAGTGCGCCCCCCGAGCAGTTCCGCTCCTCGCACCGCAGCACGCAGTCGCGGTACACCGGCTCGCGGTCGCCTTGGGAGGCGGTCGCCAGCACGGCTGCCCCGGCCAGCAGCACCAGCAGCGTCGCGCGCCCCGCCATCCTGTCACTCTCGCTGGCCGCGGGGGGCGGAGCTTAGGGGCGTAGGAAGCCTCCACTTCCGGGGTAACCGGAAGTACCTGTGCTCATCCTTACACCCTCCGCTGACGTCCACCCACTTTTAAATAAAAGTTCCCGGATTTTTGTGGGCGCTTGCGCCTTCCCTCGCCCCACTGCAGTTTCCCTAAAATGCGGCAACAAGCTTAAGGGAAGGGGGATGCCTGGTGAGATCAGGAACAGAAAAGTGATTTTTTTCTTTTAATTCTCCGAGGTTTATGTATATACATATTTATTTATTTATTTATTTATTTTAAACCAAAGAATAACCTTTAATATTTAGTGAAAAGAAGCTTACGATCTCCAAAAGTTTAGCAGACCTTTTGGGTCATATCATTCAGAAATCCGTCAATTGCACTCCAGCACCACCAAAAAAATACGTCATACAATTTAAAATCGCTTTGTGTAAAAAAAAAACAAAAAAAGAAATCTGCCAATTGCAGATTCAGAGTGCAATTTAATGGATTTATCTCCATTAAAATTGGCCTAATTTACAAGAGACTAAGCTATTTCTGGCACCCGCCAGGTTGGGTCCCAGTACCCTGGTGTCCCCGGCACTGCCTTCCCCTCCGGCTCTACCGGGCCGAGGACCTCTGTTCCAGCCTCCTCGCCTGCACTTTGCTCCCTCAACCCCTGCTCCAGTCTGTAAAATTCCTCGCTAGCTCTCAGTTACTCAGGATACGACGCAGACCCCCCAGGCCCGCGCGATCCGCCCTGGCCACCGGGCTACCCCTCAAGTCGGAGTCCCTCGGCCTCCTGTCTCTGTCCCCGTGCTGTCCTTCTTCTTGGCTGTTCTGTCACCAGTGTAGATGCTGCTCCTGAGCGTGCTCCTCAGCCTCTGCAGGGAGACGGCCTCAGGGGTGAGGACCTATGGGTGGCCCCGTGCCCATTGGGTTTTGTTTTTTGTTGTTGTTTAGAGACAGATTCTCACTTTGTAATTCAGGCCTAGAATTTGCTATGAAGCCGAGACTTGCCTGGAACTCACAATCCCCCTGCCACAGCTTCCCAAGTACTGGGGTTACAGGTGTGCACCACCATGCTTGACTTGTTTTTAATAAATGAACGGTTATGTGCCTGTCTGGGGCTGTCAAACCACAGCATGGCTCCTGGCAGAGAAGAGAGGTACCAGTAGTATTTCAAGGAAAAATTGAGAAGGACCCTTGGGACTGGGATGCTTGCTTTAGGGTCCCCCGTACCTCCCTGGGTAACCACCAGCACCCTCCCACCCACACCTCCTGGAAGCCTCAGAGTCAAATGGATAATGATGCCTCCCCTCCTCCCACATTCTGTCCCCCGGGTCAGACTTTCCTTTTTATGCTAGAGGAGAGGGGTGGGGTGGAGGGAGAAGTAGCCTTGGGTCCCCTTCATTCACTGACCTTGCAGACTTTTCCTGAGCCTGAGGCTCCAGCACCACGCTCAGCAAGCCCCAGCTCCAGGACACACAACTTGTGTGCATTTTCTGTGAACGGTGCTTCTGCAGTTAAATGTGACATGAAGCATGTGTCGGGAGTTGAGCACCCAGCTGACTGGGGAGTTGAAATGAATAAAGCAAACAGCCCTCCAGGCGCGGATCCCAAACGATGGAGTGCTAGTACTACTTTGTATCTGCAGATCGGGTCCTTTTGTAATACTTTATTTTTCATTTTGTCCTTACTAATTTTGGAATTATTTTATTTTTTGAGACAGGATCTCACTATGTATCCTAGGCTGGCTTCGAACTCACAGGGATCTTCCTGCCTCAGCCTCCTGAGTGCTGGGGTTGCAGGCATGTGCCACCATGCCCAGCTGTGCTGTTTCCTTGTCTCCACTTCAGAGCCCACTGCTCTGTTTTATTGAATGGAGGCGGCCCTAGTTAGGGGTCGTGAATGCAAGCCAATAGGATCCATAACTAAACTCACTGTAATTTGGTCTTTTGAGAGAATGGCGTCTTTCTGGGACAGATCTTGAAATTTTCCTTTATACAGTTACCGGGCCTCTCCCTTTTGCAACTTGTTAGCCTGGAGTCCCGGTTTCCCCATCGAGTCCCTTTGGTTTAATCTGTGTCCTAAGTTGTCTTTAGTATCCTGTGGGAGATACAGGCTGCAGAGTCATCCTTTAGTCTTCCAACTTGGGCAGAAGTAATCCCAGCACATCGGAGGCTGAGGTAAGAGGATCCTAGAGTTTGAGGTCAGCCTGGCCTACCGGTTCCCAGTACAGGGACAAGAAAGACAAAGCAACTTGTGCAGAGGTAAGATCTTCATGACAAGCAGACCGTATTCTTAGAGCAAAAATTGGGGGGACAGTCTACAGTGAGGGTCCCGTATTCACCAAATATTTATTAAAGTTCACAATGCCCTGGGGACAGGGTGCCTTTTTCATAGCCAGAGGAAGGATATACGATAAGTTGCAAACAAACAACTTATATAATTTTGCTGCTGCGGTAAGAACACATTGTCCAGCCACTGTGAAGGATAACTTGGTGCTCTCAGAATGGAAAATGTACCGAACCCTCTTTCCAGCAGTTTCCCTCTTAGGTTTGTCTACACAAGTGGAAAATTTGGAGATATACAGTTATTCACGACAGCGTTAGTTATTATTTTCAATAGACAAAAGGCAGCCTGCGATGGTGTTACACACCTGCAGTCCCAGCACTTGGGAGCTGAGGCAGGAGGATAGGAGTTCAAGGCCAGCCTGGGCTACCTAGGGAGACTGTGTCCCAAAACAAACAAACAAACAAACAAAAAAGGAAAAGACTTAAATGGTCAGCAATAGGCAATGAGTTACATTAATTGAATGAGAGCCACAAAATGGAACGCCAAAGAGAAATTAATAGGGATGCAGTGGATTGGTAATGTACCAACATGGAAAAATCTTCACAATATCTTTGTTAAGTATAAAAAGCAAGGTGTAAACTGAGCATGGTGGTGCACACCTGTAGTACCAGTTTCAAGGGAGGCTGAGGCAGGAGTGTTGCAAGTTCAAAGACAGCCTGGGCAATTTAGGAAGACTTGGTCTCAAAATAAAATTTAAAACGGCCTGGAAATGTAGCTCAGTGGAGGAGTGATTTCCTAGTGTCCATGAGATCCTAGGTTTGATCCCTGGGACCAAGGAAGGAAGGGAGGAAGGGAGGGAGGGAGGGAGAGAGAGAGAGAGAGAGAGAGAGAGAGAGAGGGAGAGAGACCTGTACTATGTGCATATATCTTCAATTTTAAAATCAAAGCAAAATGTAAAAAGAACTGTGTGGACGAAAGTTAAGGGAAACAGGATTGGACGCTGCCCTCGCCCCAGCAGGGACAGTAGGGGTGGGGAAGCCTACTTTGCTCCAGGTGATGCCTCATCCACCAAACCTGTAGGACCAGAGATATCAACCCTGCAAAACCCAGGGGGCAGAGTCCTAGGCCTGAGGACCTGTGCAAAGGCCCAGGGGTGGGAACACCATGGTCATCTTTGGAAATCAGAGAAGAATGCGGAGAGACAGAGCAGCCTCAGGGTGTGGGGTGTGGGTCTGGTAGACGCTGTAGGCAATGAGGGTTTCAGCTCATGCTCACAAGTTTTCATTTGGGTGCTGTGGAAAAGGGAAGGGATTGTAGGAGTCAAGAGCCAGTCCACGAGGAGAATTGACAGAGGCCGAGATGAGCTGGTGCAGAATAAAAAAAACAACAGGGCAATGGAAGAGGAGTTGCTGGGTCCCAAAGGAGGAGCCCATGAGAAGGAAGCGAGGAACCAAGAAAGGGGGTTCAGCCAGGGTAACTGTCCCAAACTGGCCTTGTCCCCCCCCAGGCCATGACTGCTATCCCTGTGTGCTTCTGGAAGCTTCCCAGGCTTCTCTAAAACCAAAAGCCAAGTCAGTTGTAGTGGTGCCCTCTATAATCCCAGCACTTGGATCGCCACAGGTTCGAGGCCAGCCTGGGCTACACAGTGCATTCAAGCCCAGCCTGAACTGGATAGCGAGAACCTGTCTTTAAAAAAACCAAAACTTGGGCTGGGGATTTAGCTCAGTGGTTTCTCCGCCTGCTGCGCAAGCGCAAGGACCCGAGTTCGATCCCCGGTACAAAAAAAAAAAAAGTAAAATAAAAAAACCAAAACTAAATAAATAAAATAAAAAGAAGAAACAAGGAATCATTGTGTCCGGTTCTCTCAGATGGCAGACAGCAGAGTGAAGCCTTGCTTGAGGCCACGAGCGCAGCTATGGTCTGAGAAGGACCTCGGACAGCCGAGGGGCACATGAGGAGTGGCCAGCACAGCCTGTGGGCTGCTGGAGACCCAGGCCACCGGGCATGCCACGCGTCTGTCCCAGCGCAAGCAAGGAAGCAAGGTGAGGACAGATGAGTCCCTTGGGGAGAAAGGCCAACTCGTGGCCTCAGGTGCATTTCTGAGTGTGGGTGAGAAGGGGCTGTGGGAGGTGTCACAGGCCCAGGGGCAGTGCCTTCAGCCAGGACATTGAGCTCTGTCCCTTTTTGTTCTCAAGAGTGTGGCTAATCCTGGCCTTCTGCTGGTCAATCTACCTGTGTTCATACCAGGCCACCTTTAGGAAGGGCTACTTTTTTTGTGGTGCTGCAATTGATCCCAGGGCCTTGAACACACGAGGCAAGCCCTCTACCACTGAAGTCCACCCGCAGCCCTTTGTATTTTCAGGTAGGGTCTTGCTAAGCTACCCAGACTACCCTCTAACTTGCCATCCTCCTGCCTCAGCCTCCCGAGTGGCTGGGATCACAGGTGTGTGGCACCCCACCAGTGCAGGAGGGACCACTTTGCTTATCAGAAGCTTCTGAATGAACTCCCTGGGCTTGGACAGGCCATGTGCCCACACTGGGGCTCCTTCCGAGTGGCCAGTCCACACACGGCGGCCCTGTCCCCGGCATGTCTTGCCCAGCCTCGAGGCCTGCCCAGGAGGCCCCTGCTGGTGTCCGGACCTGATTGGCCCAGGCTGTCTCTCTCTCCTCCCTTTTTCTGCCCCCCCCCATCCCGGGGATTGAACTCAGGACCTTGCAGGACCGAGGCCTGTGTAGTGCCACTGAACTAAACCCCCGGCCTCCTCCCTTTTTCTGTTTCTGCCCTCTGACCCTAGGCTGGCTGGTGAGGCAGACAAAGGGGAGGAGACTCTGGTGCCAACCCAGCCACACACCGTTGCGCCTTCCGCCTGTCAATGATTGACTGGCATTTCACAGCCTGCTGCTTCCAGACCCCGGCCTGCTGACCCTCAGAGGTCACCTCTGCAAGCCAGGGAGTCCGAAGCCCTCCTCTGCCCGCGGGCCGGGTGCCTGTCGCCCAAGTCGCTGCCCTCTGACCCCGGGCGGGGGGTCCCCTGTAGCCTCTCACCTCCCTGCACCCCTCTGGGTCTTTCGCCTCCCCCTTGCCCGCCCCCAGAGTCCCTGAGGTCTTTGCCCCTCACGCCTCTTTCCCTGGCTCCCCACCAGGCCTGGCCGGAGGGGCTGTGGTAGAGAAGAATCCCAGCCCCGGCCCAGTGCCCCTCTCCTCGACTCTTGTCAAACAGCAGACGAAGAAGCTTTTTCTTTCCTCTTCCTTCCCAGCTCTGAATGCTCTCATTCTCTCCGGGAGCCTCCCCCGGGCCGCCCCAGCTCCTCCCTGGCCTCACTGGGCCCTGGCCATGCGTGGCTCTGTCCTCCCCTCGGCCCACTGCGACCCACAGCAACCACCCCTGCAGTTTCCTCCCAGGATCCGGGCTGCGACAGGGTGACGGCCTTGGAGGGAGGGCTGACCCAGAAGGCTTCTTGGCACGGCCACCTTGGCATGGGGCCTGGGATGGTACCCTTCCTCGTGCTCCAGGAAAGTCCCTTCACCTCCTGGAACCTCGGGCTTCTCTTTGGCAAAATGGGGACAGATAACGTCCGGCTCTCTGAAACCTTCAGGACTCGCGGGCGCAAGGAATGTGGCTTTGGACAGAGTGGCACACAGTAGGGGTCCACTGAGAATGGCACCTCAGCAGCTTCCCAGCTCCTAACAAAGGGGCACAGAAGCAGGGCGGGAACAAGGGGCGCTTCTGACTGACCCTCATGTGCAGATGGTCTCTGCCCTGCATTCACACTGAGTTCCATCCCCAGCCCTTCGAAATAAGATTTCACTTAAAAAGTTGCCCAGGCAGGACTTGAACTTGTGATTCTCTCACCTTGGCCTCCCAGTGAGCTGGGATTACAGGACAGCACCACCATGCCCAGGGGGCCGGGGGGTCTCTAAGGCTCCATCCACCCTGGCCCAGATGATAGAGAAGGCAGGAAGTTGAAGTTCTGACATGTGGGCCCCAGGCTGGAAAGGGGTGAGCATGGGGGACTGGTGTTGCTGGGTGCTGAACTCTTCCCATTGGCCCCGAGATGCCCTGGGCCAGACGCTTAGCCCTTTGGAGCCTCAGTTTCCCTAATCTTCACCCTAGGCCTAACATGAACCTGTGGGGGCCATGCTGAGGGGCTGATGTGTCCCAGTGTCCATCAGTGACAATGACACAGGCAATAAATCCACTCGACACCCACTACACGGGCCACACACACACACACACACACACACACACACGAGGACACTGGGCCCTTGCTGCATGCCATGTGTCTGGGTCTTTTCTTTGCCCTTCAAGTTCTAGTTTTTTGTTTTTTGGTATTTTTTGAGGCAGGGTCTCCTTTTGTAGTCCAGGCTGGCCCTAAACTTACTATGTAGCCTAGACTGGCCTCAAACTCTCAGCAGTTCTCCTGCCACAGCCTCCCAAGTGCTGGGATCAGAGGAGTGCGCCACCACACCCAGCTTCCATTCTGTTTCTTAGAAAAAAGAAAAGAAAGAAAGATTGGTTTGGTTTGATCGTCTAAATTAAGCAAGAATAAGCCTCGGGCCCCTCATTTTCATGCATGTTTCTTATTTTGTATTTATAACTTTTGTGTTCTTTTCTTAACCAGAGTCCCTCAAATTCTGTAAGCTGCAGGCCCACCAGACCTCGATCTGTGAATAACTGTGTTTGCTGAGCAGATATTATGTCCCAAGTACTGAGCCCAGTACTCCAGGGGCGGTACCCCCCCTTAGGCCCCTGCACGGTGGGTCAGAAACCATTCTATGATGAGCAGCTGAGCAGCCGAGGCCCAGGGGTACCCAGTCCCTGCCCAAGGTCACTCCGAGCACAGGCCAGCATCAAAGCCAGGACTCCATCTTTGGCCCTCAGTTTTCAGCCAGCCTGCAGGATCCTTCACTTCCTGTCCCCAGCTGGTGCCTCAGACCCGTTGGACCAGCACAGGTGTATGCCAGGCTAAAGCAGTCCAATTAGCAATGCCAGATTTGGCAAATAAAAAATAAAGATGCCGTGTTACATTTGAATTTCAGATAAACAGCCAGGAATTCATTAGTATAAATACATCCCCTGCAGTGTGTCCTCGAATTCGCAACAAAGGTGTTTTATTCCCACTCCCCCACCCCCTGCATAGGGTGGGGGGGGATTCCAGGTGGGAGGGGAGTCAAGCAGGGGAATAAAACGTAACAAAAGGAATGAATGGGGCGCTGAGAGCCCCCTTAAAGGCACAGGAAGCGGGTCCTTCCAAGGCTCTTCCACTTGGCTCTCTCCTCCCAGATTTGTGGACCCATTTATGATCATTCTTTTCAGGCTGGAGGGACCCCAAAGACTCGAGATGGGAGTCCGGGGAGACACAAGTCGGACACAACACATCCCCCAGCCCTTGATGTCGTGGATGTCCGTGACTAGTTGGGGATGCCACGGGGAATAATATATATATTTTTTGAGATAGGATCTCCCTATGCGGTTTAGGCTGGCCTTGAACTCACTGGGATCCTCCTCCTGCCTCAGCCTCAGGAGTGCTGGGATTATAGGCAGGCACCACTACGCTCGGCTATTAGATATTAAAAAAAATAGGCACGGGATAGAGTAGAATGCAAACTGCCCAGGAATGTTTAAACTACAACCTGAGGCTGCGGGACAGTCTGGCCCTCGCTCCCAGCGGAGAGCGGGCCGAGGACCACCGTCCTCGGCGTTCAGGGCTCCTCCCCGCGCTCGGGCGGGACTCGCGGGCGGGCGGGGCGGGGGCGGGAGCGGGAGCGGGGCGGCCCCTCCCTGGGCGCTGGAATGCGCGGGGGGCGGGGCGGAGGCTCCAATCCCGGCGGCGGCGGCGCAGGCGGAGGGGGAGGGGAGCTGGCGAGTGCGTCCGGCCGGAGTCGGAGCTGAGATTCCGCGCGGGACGCGCACCCCAACTCCGATCCCCGCGCCCCGCCCGGCCCCGCGCGCGCCATGGGGCCCGGGCCGCGCTGAGCGCCATGGAGCTGGCGGCCTGGTGCCGCTGCGGGCTCCTCCTCGCCCTGCTGCCCGCCGCTGCCGCGGGCACCCAAGGTGGGTTTCGGGCGCGCCCCGGGTCCCCCAGATCGCCGGCGCGGGGGGGGGGGGCGTCGCTGTGTGCGCGCCCGCCCGGGCGGAGACGGAGAGGGACCAAGTTCCCGGAGCCGGCGGAAAGTTCTGCGAGCGCTCGAAAGTTTCTCTGAGCGTTGCGCTGCGCTGCGGGTGCGCGCGTCGCCTCGGATCCTTCTCGCTGGCCCGGAGCTTTGGGGTCCTCGGCAGCCTCCTCCTGCGGAGCGGGCTGCGCCGGATTCCCGGGGTCCTTGACCTCACCGTCCGCCCGGGTTGTTTCCCCGGCTCCAGGCCCGGCTGGAGGAGGGGGCGCTGGGGAGGCGACCTGTCCCGCGGATCCGGGAGCAGGGGTGGCCGGGGCCGGGGTGCACACGGTGGCCTCCAGCCGGGGGCCTGGGGGGGGGGTTGGCATTTGTTTGGAACGCATTTCTTAGGGATTTGGGTGCTGTGGGAGCCCCCCCACCCCCCAGCGTTGAGGATGGAACCCAGAGCTTCGCACCGTGCCCCTGAGCTGCACCCCCGGGCCTGTTAGGAACAAATTTCTTTAGGGCCAACCTAAGGACAGTGCGCTTCGGGACCATGGGGCATAGCTTTGCTGTTCCAAGCTTTGTCCCGAAAAGCAGTGAGGGCAGATGGGGTACCCAGCGGCCGGCCTGGGGCACCGCCTCCTCCTGGCGCTGTGGGGGCAGGGTGGCCAGGGCGGGCAGTGTGTACCCTGACGCGTCTGTCGCTCTGTCCCAGGCATGCACTCTGCTGGGCCACCCTGCCCGGCGCCTGTGTAGGGTTTTGCCTGCAGATCTTCGGGGCACCCTAGCGAAAGTACTATTCACACCCCCATTTTCCGGGTGCAGACCTGGGGTTGATGAGGTTAAGTGACAGCCAGGAAGCTGTGGGGCACAGTTGGGACCCCAGGCGGTGACTGCAGACCACACGTTAGAAATCACGACATCAGTTTCCCCGGCACAATGGGGACGCTGTGCCCGCGATCCATGAGTTTCAGGGGAGACCAAGTGAGTGTGTGTGGGAGCAGTGGGTGGTCCCCATGGGTCAGGAGCCGGGGGAGGAGCTGGGTGTCACGGTGTCTGTGTCACCCGGGCCCCTGGGTGGTGTCCCTGTGTGTCGGAGGCTGCCGGTCCGGGCCGAGGTGTGAGGTCTGTGTGTTTGTGTCTGAGCTTTGTGTTGCCAAACAGCAGCCCCTCCCTGCTGACTTGGGGACCCAGGCTGAACTCTGCCCTCCCTGGGAACTCCCTCAAGGTGCTGGGCAGAGCTGCAGTAAACAGTGGGAGGAGGCGGCCCTTCACCTCGTAGGGAGCCCATCCTGCCCCTCCCTGTTTCCCAGGCCTGGGCGGCTTCACCTCTGACCCTCTGAGGAGCTGGGCGAGGCTGGGCCGGCTTCACCCGCTTCACCTTGGCCCAGGGCTGCAGAGCTGAGGTGGGGATCCTGCAGGGCACTGCGGTGCAGAGAGGGACCGTTGTCCTGCCCACCCAGCCACCTGCAGTGCCCCTGGCTGGGGCAGGAGGGGAAGGCAGAGGGGCAGAATTTCCACAGGCCCTTAGAGGTCAAGGTTTTCGGAATTGCAGCCAACGCATCCTTTCACGTCGCAGAGCTGGATTCTCCCAACAGCCGCCTTCCCTCTTTCCTACGCAGGGAAAGTGCTCACCTTAATATTTGAGAAAAAAGGATTGTAAAGAGAGAAATTATAGAAAAATGCATTGGTACCGAAGTGAAGTGAAAAGCACTTCGAGTTTTCTCCTGGCTCAGGAGCACCCCTGTGCATCCTGATTTTGACCCCATTTTGCCTGACCTTTTTTTAAATTTTGATGGTACCGCCGATTGAACTTGGGACCTTGCACGCCGGCCCTGCCTTAGCTTCTAAAGAAACTTGCATAGTGTACTTCCTATGCGCCCGCTCCCCTCTGCCCTTCCTGTCATGGAGGTGGCAGACTAGAAAAAGGGGTGCAGAGAAAGAAAGAGGTGCATGGGATCACCCCCGCTTTCCAGTGCTGCCCTGGGAGTCGGGGACTACTTAGGAGGAGGAAGGGCTGGGCAGTGGCTTGGGGACAGCCAGGTGGCCACCTGGAGAAGCACTGTGGTCAGAGCAAGGCTTCCATCCGCTTGTCCCCGCTGCAGAAGGTGGGTCTGGTCCCGGGTCCTCTCCCTTCCTGTCTGGCCCATGCCTGGCTGGCGTGGCTGTGGATGGAGGACAGGGGTCAGACGGAGGCCTGCGGGTGAATGGCGCTGCTGGGGAGCGCCCCTGGGTGGTGGGCGAACTATCGGAAGAGAGCAGGGCTTGGTGGGGGGAGCAGGACTTGGTAGGGCTGACGTCTGTGTAGCCACGGCTCTGTTTACAAAGCCTAGTGGTGTTTACAGACTGCTTCTCATTTAACGCTTGCTCTTGGTCCTCCACGGGGGGACAGGAGCGCTGGTGGCCCAGTTGAGGTCAGTAAACAGAGCGTGCCTGCGGGTCTGAGGGAGGAAACTGAGTCAGATTCCTCTCCCAGACCCGCAGGCACGCTCTGACTGACAGGGTCCCCGGGTGAATGGCTCAGCCAGGGTTTGGTCCAATGCCCGGAGCGCAGGCCCTGGTGAGACCCGGCTCCATAGGCCAGGGGTCTGTGGCAGGGGGGTCTTGGTGTCCCTCGTGCGGCTCTGGGCCCCAGCTCAGGAAGAGGGGACGCTGGAGTTGCAGGGGCTTCCCTGGGGTGTGCGTGAGACCAGAGGAAGTATTGGCTTTCATGCACTAGCAAGCGGGGTGCTGGGGCCGAGGCCGGAGGGGAGGGGAGGCGCCACCCAGGGGCCCTGAGCAATGGCCACCGAAGCCCAGCGGGGGCACCATACAGTGTGTGACCCACCCAGGCACAGTGATGGATACCGTGATCTCGATGGATCCTCTAGGTTTGCACACTCTTAAGATTTTTTGTTTGTTTTTTGGTACCGGGGATCGAACTCCGGTCCTTGTGCTTGCGCAGCAGGGGGCGAAACCACTGAGCTAAATCCCCGGCCCGATTTTTTGTTTTTGAGACAGGGTCTTGCTAGGTAGTCCAGGTTGTCGTAGAACTCGCAGCAATCCTCCTGCCTCAGCCTGCTGAGTGCTTGGATTACAGACGTGTGTCACCAAGCCTGGCTGCCTTGGATATTCTTGTCTGGACCTCATTCATTCATTTGTTCATTCATTCAGGAGACACGTACACGGCTCTCGCTGTCTTTGCCCCGGAGTTGGAGGGTGGGGGTCCGTAGGGACAGGTGTCCCCTGTGTGGAGTTAGGACCTTCTGCCCCTCACCGATAGGTGACGGGAGATTGGTAAGGAGGTGGGGAGCAGGCCGGGGTGTCAAGAAAACCTGCTGGGGTGGTGGCAGGTCTTGGGGGACCGAGTTTACCACTGCCGGCAAACACTAAGTCTGACTTCAAGGCATCCACCACTCAGGTAAACAAACTCGTGCACCGGGGCAGGGCCACCGCCCTCTGACCTCTGGCCCAGCCTGGAGCCCACGTGTTTGTTGCTGGCTTTGGGAGAGTCGGTGAGTGAGTGTGGGTTTGTGCGGGGTGAGGCTGTTTGTCTGTGTGTGTAGTTAGGCCTCCTGGAAAGAACGAGTGCCCGAAGTCAGCCGGACCTGAGTTCAAGTCCTGCCTCCGTGGCTCCCAAGCTTTCCAGGTTGGGCTGGTCACCTGACCCTGCCGGCTGCAGTTTCTCTCTTTGAGAAATAGAGGTGTCAGCCCCTGGCCCTGGAGCAGGGGGCTGGCTCAGGAGCCCTGGTCCCTGCCGCTGTTGTTTTCCGATCTCCTGGCTGCTACAGCGGAGTCAGTTGGAGGTGCTGGCCGCAGAGGTTGGGCTCCCTGTCCCCAGCCTGGCCAGGGCCTGGGTCTGGGCTGGAGACAGCTGTGCCTATAAAGCAGCTGAAGCTGGAGGCTGGGGGAGGTCCTGGCAGCGGATTTATTTTGGGCCTGGCTGCCACCCGGGCTCCTGTTTCTCTTGGGAGCCTGCGGGGGAGGGGCGGGGAGGGCAGGGGGTGCTGGGCAGGCAGCCTGGCGGGGGCCCGGGTGCTGGCCCCTCCATCCCAGAGATGGACCTGCATTTACCCTGGGCTTTCCGCTCCTTCCGTCTGCTCAGGGTGGGGACAGAAACCACTGTGGTGATGCTGGGAGGCCACTGGCATGTGGCCCTCGGCAGAGACAGCAGCCCGGGACTGCCCTCCAGCCTGCCCCCGCTCCCCGGAGGCAGGGGTGTCTGTGTGCCCCTAGGATTTGACCGCAGACTCCAGGCCGCCTGACTTCAGGTCTCCAAGCCAGTTACTGTGTCCCTCATCTGCAGAGTCCTGGGAGGTGGGGCGGTGCCCGGCTGGAAATCTGGGGCCGGGCATCTGTGGGCCTGTGAATCCCAGGTGCACCCCCAGCCTCCTGGGCAAGACGTGTCGGATGATTCATCTTCTCACCAGGGCAGAAAAACAAGTTCAGCTGGGTGCTTTATAATCTCCCCGGATGGCAGGCCCGGTGCTAGCTGGCACCCAGAGACCCTCGCAGGGGCGTCTGTCCCTGAAGCGGGTTTGGGCTTGGTGGGGCGCTCGTGGTCAGGGGCTGAGCTGCAGGTGTGGCGCTTCCTGTTGAAGCCCCGTGGCTGCTGGCTGGTGCCAGGCAGGCACCCAGGGGGAGGTTGTGGTGTGGGTTCTGCCAGCTGGTTCTGGAGCCTTGCCCTGTGGAGGTGGCCAGGGTGAGGCGCTAGGCCAGGAAGCTCCCCGCCCTCACCCTGGCCCGGAGCTGCAGTGCCAGGGCGTGTCCCTCCAGGGGGGGACCAGGTCCCTTGTGCCCCAGCTGTACCTCTGCTGACCCCCTCCTGCCCGCTCTGGGTGGCATCGTGGGATGGGCGCCCGTGTGGGAGGTGGGCGTGCGGGTGTTGGAATGGCGTGGGGAGAAGGCTCAGGAGACCCAGAGGACTCGTGACTCATCCTTGCCTCTCTTGGGGGATTTTTACCCTTGGCTCTGTCAGGCCTCTAGGACAAAGCCATGCTTTCTCTGCCCCTGTCCCTGCCCCTGCGCTGGTGGACACCCCAAGAGCCTCACTTGCTGGGCTCCTCTGGGTGGGCAGCCGGGTGCCTCCGGTGACCCCAAAGCTTCTTCCTGCCATGGGCAGAGGGTGCAGAGAGGCCGCCAGGTGGGTACAGGCTCCCGGCAGCGTCCCGACCCCTCTGTCCCTCCCACCAGTGTGCACAGGCACCGACATGAAGCTGCAGCTGCCCACCAGCCCCGAGACCCACCTGGAGATGCTCCGCTACCTCTACCAGGGCTGCCAGGTGGTGCAGGGGAACCTGGAGCTCACCTACCTGCCTGCCGATGCCAGCCTGTCCTTCCTGCAGGTGAGGCCCGGCCGAGCCCTCCTGGTTCCCCAACCAGGAAGTCCTTGCTGATGCCTAGCCTCGAGGCTGGCTGTGGGCATCTTTGGGTGGGATGCCTCTGTGTTTCTGCTACGTTTTTTGTGGTGGTCGTGTGCTTTTTGTTTCTGTTTTGTTTTTGAGACAGTGTCGTGATGTATCTCAGATTGGCCTCGAACTCATGGCGATCCTCCTGCCTCAGCCTCCTGAGGGCTGGGATGATAGGCGTGTGCCACCACGCCCGGGTCTCTGCTCAGTTTTGTGCTCCCTACCAGCACAGTCACCTCCCCCTGCCCATCTGTCACGGTCCCTCACTGTCCCTTAACTCACTGAGCCTTAGTTTCTCTCTATATGGGGACCAACCAGCCTCCTGGGACCCATGGGGAAGGTGAGAAGTGTCTGTGGGAGTATGGAGGAGATGGGCTGGCTGGATTGTGTCCCTGGGCTGCAGACCCTGCCGCAGTGCATTGCTCCATTTGTCACCTGTGGACCCCGTGCGGGCCTGGCCTTTTACAGACAGGAAACTGAGATGCAGGGGGTGGGGGGCTTGCTATTGCTCCCTGCCACTGTATTTCGCGATCACAATAGAATCTGGTGCAGCCTGCTGGGGAGCAGCCTCCATCTTGTTTTTATTGTTGTTGAGACAAGGCCTGGCTATGTAGCACAGGCTGGTCTTGAACTCACTATGTAGCCCAGACTGGCTGTGGTCAACTCATGGAGATCCTCCTGCCCCAGCCTCCTGAATGCCTGGATTATGGGTGTGCACCACCACTTGGGGGCTGGGGCCTTGCCCAAGGTCCCCAGCACGCAACTCTGGAGGCCTTGGGGCCATGGCCATCTGGGCCCAGCTGCGCCTCATCACTGCCCCTGTAACCCTAGGACATTCAGGAGGTGCAGGGCTACCTGCTTATCGCACACAACCAAGTGAGGCAGATCCCACTGCAGAGGCTGCGGATTGTGCGGGGCACCCAGCTCTTCGAGGACAGCTACGCCTTGGCTGTGCTGGACAACAGGGACCCTGTGGACAGCACCACCCTGGCCCCGGGGGCTGCCCCAGGAGGACTTCGGGAGCTGCAGCTCCGGAGTCTCACAGGTGGCCTGGGCGTCACTGAAACCTTCTTTGCTCCTGGGAGCTGCAGGAGCCAACATGTTCCAGGCCCTGGGCTCCAGCCTCGGTGTGGGTTCCTAGCAAAAACAAGAACAAAAACAAAAAGAAAGAAAAAAGAAAAAAATTGCCTTCCTTTGGGGAAGTCACCACGCGCACCAGCGTAATTAAGCCTTACAGTGTGGGCTGGGGTTTTGGGGATCGTCCTGCCTCAGCCTCCCAAGGGCTGGAGTGACAGGTGTGTGCCACCATGTGCAGGTCTAGGGCCTCTTTGATGTTATTTTAAAATTAAATTTTACTTTTTTTGGGCTGGGGATTTAGCTCAGTGGTTCCACTGCCTGCCTTGAAAGCTAAGGACCCGAGTTCGATCTCCGGTACCAAAAAAAAAAAAAAAATTTTTACTTTTTTTGTTGTGCTGGGGACGGAGCCCAGGGCCTGTGCATGCTGGCAGGTGCTTTAACCTAGGGGCCCAGGGCGAGGGGAGGAAGGGGGCACCCTGTCCCATGAACGTGCACCCAGATGTCCCCTTGCTCTGGGTGCTGTGGGCCCTGACCAGTGCCTGCTCCACAGAGATCCTGAAGGGAGGCGTCCTGATCCAGCGGAACCCCCAGCTCTGCCACCAGGACACCGTTCTGTGGAGGGACATCTTCCATAAGAACAGCCGTCTGGCCCCCGTGCAGGTGGACACCAACCGCTCGCGGGCCTGTAAGCCACTCCGCACACCCGCCTCACCACCACCCTGTCCCTTGTCCCTTTTCAGGCCCTCCTGCTGCTTTGTCTCGCTTTGTCTCTTCCATTTCTTTTCTCCCTCTGCCCCTCCCCCCCGCCCCCTGCTGCTGCCTCTGGGCTTAGAGAGCCCTTCTTCAGGGTTGTTGTGTAGCGGCGCAGGCTGGCCTCAAGCTTGTGGTGATCCTCCTGCCTCAGCCTCCCGAGTGCTGGGATGACAGACATGCACCACGACGCCTGGTGCGCACCGCTGCCCTGTGCCCCAGCGCCCACTGCCTCTCTCTGCCTCTGTCCCCAGGCCCACCCTGCTCCCCAGCCTGCAGAGCCCCCTACTGCTGGGGGGGAAGCACCCAGGACTGTCAGAGCCGTGAGTCCGGGGCTGGCCGGGGTGCAGGGCGACTGGGGGCCAGGTAGCTGCCCGGGGCAGGATGTCCCCGGGCATCCTGCCTGTCCTCACCCTGCCCTTTGGCCAACAGTGACGCGCACGGTGTGTGCTAGTGGCTGTGCCCGCTGCAAGGGCCCGCAGCCCACCGACTGCTGTCACGAGCAGTGTGCCGCAGGCTGCACGGGCCCCAAGCACTCCGACTGCCTGGTACGCGCCCTGCGAGGGGTGGGCACCCTGCCTGGCACTGCCCTTTGCCCTGGGACTCAGGGTGAACAACTGCCTGTCCCCCAGGCCTGCCTGCACTTCAACCACAGTGGCATTTGTGAGCTGCACTGCCCGGCCCTGGTCACCTACAACACGGACACCTTTGAGTCCGTGCCCAACCCCGAGGGCCGCTACACCTTCGGCGCCAGCTGTGTGACCACCTGTCCCTGTGAGTGCCTCAGTGGGTGGACAGGAGCACATGGGCACTGTGTCCCTTATCTTGGAGGCTGGGCCTGAGCTGCCTGGTTTGGAGCAGGTGGCACTTACGTGGCGTGCCACCTTGTTGTTGTGCCTCAGTTTCCTTATCTGTAAAATCGGAGCCAGGTGTGGTGGCGCATACTTGTCATCCCAGCACTGGGGAGGCTGAGGCAGGAGGATCACTGCGAGTTCAAGGCCAGCCTGGGCTACACAGCGAGACTTTGTCTCCAAAACAAAACAAATAATAATTTATTATAGCATTACCTAGGTTGGCGTTACTTTACCGTGAGTTTTTTTTCCCCTCTCAACAATTATGAATGGGCTGGGGATTTAGCTCAGTGGTTCTGCCGCCTGCCTCAAAAGTGCTAGGTCCTGAGTTCAATCCCTGGTACCAAAAAACAAAAACAAAAACAATTATCAATCTAAGAAGATTAGGGTAAATGGTTTTCTAGATTAAATCTCACTTTCGAGTTTGTATTTGCTTAAAGGGACACAATAACATTACAGTTGTGTTTACCCTGTTCGGAGACATACTAAGTGGTTGTTACTGTTTTCTATACAGCATACGACAAAAAGCTATTCCCCCCAAAAGTGCTGACCGATATTACAATTTAATGGTTCTATTATTGATGGTTTAAATTTCACTTTACTGAGAAATATAAAAATGCAATTAATATTTAATGCGCCTCACCCCATTCTTATTATTCACTTTGAGATAGGGCCTCCCTAAGTCAATGATGAAAACCCAACAGTGCTCATCACACGAGCTCGGTGTGAGGAACAAAGGAGCGTCCAGTAGGAGCACCGACTACCCAGGCCTGACGGTGCAGGTCTCGGGTGTGCAAGGCAGGGCGCATGGACACACATCCCTGTCCCCGCAGACAACTACCTCTCCACGGACGTGGGCTCCTGCACCCTGGTCTGTCCGCTGAACAACCAGGAGGTGACAGCAGAGGATGGAACCCAGCGCTGTGAGAAGTGCAGCAAGCCGTGCGCCCGAGGTGCCCGCCCTGTGCCGCCCCCGTCCCCCGCGTCGCCCCGTCCCCTGCAGCCGCCGCGCAGGTCAGGCTGAGCCCCTGCCTCCCACCCCGCAGTGTGCTACGGGCTGGGCATGGAGCACCTTCGGGCTAGCAGGGCCGTCACCAGCGCCAACATCCAGGAGTTCGCCGGCTGCAAGAAGATCTTCGGGAGCCTGGCGTTCTTGCCCGAGAGCTTTGAGGGGTGAGAGTGGGCGGGGCCGCTGGGGGACAGAGGTGGAGGCCAGGAGGGCAAGGAGGCAGGGGGAGGCTGGGAGCCAGGCCGGGCCGGGCTCTGCGAGTGAACGGGCTCGGGTGGTGGTCAGAGCGTGAAGACAGTCAGATTGTCCTGAGGTCACCCCAGGCCGCTTCTCTCCTAAGAGCTTCCTATGGAAAGGACCCAAATAGACGCCAGTAGGTGAATGGGTTTAGAAATGGTGATTTATCCGTAAGTGGAATCCCCAGCAACAGCAAGAAATGAATTTCTGGTAGGGCTGGGCGTGGTCCTAGCACTCAGGAAGCTGAGGCAGGAGGATCACCGAGAGTTCCAGGCCAGCCTGGCTTACATAGTGAGTTCAGAGCCAGCCTGAACTACCAGCCAGACCCTGTCTCAAAAGGTACACAAACAAAAACTGGTAACGCCGAGGACATCGCCTGGCAGGTACTGAGTGCTCCTGATGTTAGCTTTTATCCCGCCTAGTCCACCTAGTCCACCTAGTCCACCTAGTCCACCTAGTCCGGGTAGGTGAGCCCCGTCTGCTGTCAGTCACTTGTGCCAATTTCAGTCTCTGCTCCGAAGAGCAGTCCTGCCTTGTGCCTGCCCCTGGCGACTGCCGCTGTCTCTTTGGGCCACATTCCTAGAAGTAAGATTTCAAGATCAAAGACACAAGTGCTGTTTTCACAGATGCTGCCAAACCAGGGCTGGGCACCGCTGGGCCCAGTGGGCAGAAGGTCAAAGTGAAGGAGCCATGGGGTGTGGCTAGGGGTGGCGTGGCCCTGCTGACCCTCCTGACCCTCCTGATCCTTCCAGGGACCCCGCCTCCAACACAGCGCCCCTGCAGCCCACGCAGCTCAGCGTGTTCGAGACCCTGGAGGAGATCACAGGTGGGTGCTGCCCCCGCGTCCTGCTTACAGTGGCTGGGCTGTCCCTGCCTGGCCCCGGAACCCCTAGCCACTCCTTCTGCCCACAGGTTACCTGTACATCTCCGCATGGCCAGAAACCATGCAGGACCTAGGTGTCTTCCAGAATCTGCGAGTCATCCGGGGGCGCATTCTGCACAAGTAAGAACCTAAGAACCGGGAGACCGAAAGGGGGGACCCGCATCCTCAGGGACAGCCCAGAGAGGGGGCAGGAGGTTGGGGCCAGGGTTGCGCCCCCCGAAGCTGAGACCCCCCTCCTCCACAGCGGTGCCTACTCGCTCACCCTACAAGGGCTGGGCATCCGCTGGCTGGGGCTGCGCTCGCTGAGGGAGCTGGGCAGCGGGCTGGCCCTGGTCCACCACAATCCCCGCCTGTGTTTCGTGCACACGGTGCCCTGGGACCAGCTCTTCCGGAACCCGCACCAGGGCCTGCTCCACAGTGGCAACCGGCCAGAAGCTGAGTGCGGTAAGGTGGAGGCCGGGCGCTGCAGGCAGCGGCAAAGCACCTGGCTCTGGCCCGCGAGGGCTTGGGCACGGCTTCCACCTGGGTCCTCCACACCGCCTTGGCATCCCGGCTCCCTTCCCTCTGCTCGGAATCTCAGCACTCCTCCCCTCCCCGCATGGCCTGGCACCTGTCCCCTGGTTCTCCGGGGGCCTAGGGTCTCCTCTGAGAGTCCCCTGTGACCCCCTCTTTGCTGCAGCTGCGGAGGACCTGGCCTGCAACTCGCTGTGTGCCCACGGGCACTGCTGGGGGCCGGGCCCCACCCAGTGTGTCAACTGCAGCCACTTCCTCCGGGGCCAGGAGTGTGTGGAGCAGTGCCACATCCTGCAGGGGTATGTGGGGCCACGTGGGGGTGTCGGAGGGGACACGGGCATCCCCCAGGCTCCTCACTGCCACCCCTTCCCCAGGCTGCCCCGGGAGTATGTGAGCGACAGGCATTGCCTGCGGTGCCACCCTGAGTGCCAGCCCCAGAATGCCTCCGTGACCTGCTTTGGATTGGTGAGGTGCTGGGGGGCTCAGCACTGGGGGTGGGGTGCACAGATGGGGACCCCTCAGGGCTCGGTGGGTTAGCGAGAAGCTCAGACCCAGATGTCGGGAGGGGAACAGGGAGTCCAGGTGTGGGGACTGCCTGGCACGGGTGCTGGGCCTGGGCCTGGGCCTGGGGTGGTGACATGGACCCAGGGAGGCCTGCATTCGGCCTTTGTGTGGCCGTCCACACCCGTGACGCAGGGTCTCGGCTACTTGGGTTCAAATCCAACCTCAGTTTCTTGTTGCGTGGAGAATGTTGCAATCATACCTGCCTGGTCAGGGTGTGGTGGGAAGGGAATTAAATAGGGTTTGGCACGGCGCCTGGGCACCAAAAAGCCTTCCGTGTAATAGCTGTCATCCCTCTCTGTCACACCCTAGATGGTGCACGTCCCCTCTAGGCAGCCTTCTGGTTCCCAGGTCAAAGCTGCCACTCAGGATCCTGACTGGAAGGGGGGGGGCTGGGGGGCAAGGTGTCTGTTCCGGGAGCGGGTAGACTGCTGAGGAGCGGCTCGGGGAGGAGAAGGGCACTGAGCCTGCTTCCCGGGCTGTTGGTGCCAACCCCACGCCTGACCATCCCCCCCAGGAGGCCGACCAGTGCGTAGCCTGTGCCCACTACAAGGACCCTCCTCTGTGTGTGGCCCGCTGCCCCAGTGGCGTGAAGCCCGACCTCTCCTACATGCCCATCTGGAAGTTCCCGGATGAGGAGGGCACGTGCCAGCTGTGCCCAATCAACTGCACGCACTCGTGAGTGAGGGGGAAGGCTTTCCTGGAAGAATCCTGTCTCAGGTTCTAACTGTCAGAGGGGAAAACTACTTTCGCTTTCTTTTCCCTGGAACTTAATTGTTCTTTTTTCCAATCACAAAAAGTAACATGTTAAACATTCAAATTGCTGGGCGTGGTGGTGCACTCCTGTGATCCCAGCACTTAGGAGGCTGAGGCAGGAGGGTCACTGCGAGTTCGAGGCCAGCCTGAATTACTAGCGAGACCCTGTCTCAAAAAACTGAACAAACAAAAAATTAAATTGACACACAATTTCATATTAATTTATTCATATTAATTCATTCATATTACTTCTGTCTTTGTATTAATACTTTGGAGGCCGGGGATTTAGCTCAGTGGTCTCGCCACCTGCTGCGCAAGCGCAAGAACCCCAGTTCGATTCCCCAGTACCAAAAAAAACACAAACTTTGGGATATTTTCCCTTCTTTTTATTTATTTATTTATTTATTTATTTATTGGTACTGGGGTTGAACTTGGGTCCTTGTGCTTGTAAGGCAGGAGGCGGCTATTTTTAATTTTTTTGAGGATACTTACCAAGGATTGAACTCCAGACCTTTGCACTGAGCTATATCCCTAGTCCTCCTTTAATTTATTTTTTTTAATTAATTAATTTATTTTTTGGTACCGGGGATCAAACTCGGGACCTTGCGGTTTCGAGGCAGGCACCAGAACCACTGAGCTAAATCTCCAGCCCTTTTAATTTTTATTCTGAGGCAGGGTCTGGCTGAGTTGCCCAGGTTGGGCTCTAATTTGCCACCTCCCTGCCTCAGCTTTCCAGAGTGCTGGGATTACAGCTGTGCACCACCAAGCCCGGCGGCTTCTGTTTTTTCCCAGTTTGCAGTTCTACTCCCTGAACAAGCACATCCTGTGCATGCTCCCTAGGGTACTGGTGTTGGTGATTAGGGCACACACTAAGAGATGAACTACGAGGTCTGGGATGTTCTGCTGCTGACCAATCGGTTGTTGCTGGGGATCGAACCCAGGGCCTCACATGCAGAGCACCCTCCACCCCTGAGTGCACCCCAGCCTGCATTGTGTAACAGGTGTCACCAGACCATTCAGAGGGGAAATGGAGCTGTTTTATCCCAGACTCCTATGGAAGGAACAGCTGGTGCTCCCACCCGCCAGCCACCCGGGCTCTTGGTTGGAGAGGGCGGGATTGGCCAGTGTGACCTCAGCCAGGCTCTGCCTTTGTGCGTGAAGATAATCCCCGGCCACACCCACAGGGAGGGTGTGGCCGGAGCTGCTGATGCTGCTCTCTCTCCTGCAGCTGCGTGGACCTGGATGACAGGGGCTGCCCGGCGGAGCAGAGAGCCAGGTGGGGTCCCAGGAGGCACCGCAGTGGCCCCCATGCCCCACCCCCATCCCCTGTGGTCACTGCAGACCTGACACTTGCCCCTTCCCAGCCTTTCTTCCACCGGCCTCCCCAGGCAGCTGGGGACAGGAGGGGCAGGCTAAGAGCAGGAGCCGTGGACCCTCACCCAGGAGGAACTTGGTGGCTCTTAGGGACGCAGGCCAAGTTCAGCTCCCTGAAACCAGCTCGATGAAGCAAGAGTGTAGCCACAGCCCTGAAGGATGGGGAATTCCTTTTCTGATACTGGGGGCTGACCCCAGGACCTCTGTACTGACCTACACCCCAGCCTCCCCCCTTTATTCTTTTGAGACAAAGTCTCAATGAGTTCCTAAATTGCCCAGGCTTGGCTCCAGTTTGCAATCCTCGTGCCTCAGCCTCCCAGAGTGCTGGGATGACAGGTGTGCACCACCACACCGGGCTGGATCGGTGATTTCTTACCAGGATGGCAGAGGCTTGTGGAGTCGGTGGCTGTTGAGCCAGGCCTTGAAAGGGGCGCAGATATCTTCCTTGTATTCTTCCCGGGGAGGAACTGCCCGGGGGGCGGGGGGGGGGGCGTTCAGGATCTAGGTTTTGTTAACGGTCTGGTGGGGGCGCTGCTGAGCACGGAGAGATTAAGCCAGAGGAAGCCAGGAAGCTGGAGTCTGGGCAGGGCTGGATTTGGGGGACAGAGGCGTTGACCACCAGGACTCTTGACCACAGGACACGGCTGTCTGGACAGTGGGGAGCTTTGGACAAGGGAGGACAGGCCGGAGCCTGGGCTAGCCGACCTCTGTCCCTGTAGCCAGCAGCCAGGAGAGGTTTGCTGTGTGCCAGTCTGGGCTGGGCAAGGGGCCAGGGGGACAGAGGTGACGAGAATGTCCGCTGAACGCCCAGGAGCTCCCTCTGTCCAGGATGAGCTGGGTCGGGACAGGTGACCCCCCTAGGTGAGCCCGCATGTGTGAGGTGGGACCGGAGGGGGCTCTTGACCTGGTACCCAGCCCTAGCCTCACCCCCAGAGGCCCCAAGATTTTGTGTATGAATAAGCTCCCTGGAAGCCTGAGCTGGGGCCAGGGCCAGAAGACTTGGAGACGGGGCTGCCTGGACTTCACCGAGGAGGCAGTAGGGAGCCATGGCAGGTGTTAGAGTGTGGAAGAAATGGTTCGAGCCAGCGCGTCACCCTTCCCACTTCCCCTTCCAAATGCCAGGGACCTTCAGTCCCTTCACGGGATCTCTGGGAACTCCTGCCCTGGCCCGGCCCCCACCCCTCACCCTGGCTTCTGCCCCCAGCCCTGTGACGTCCATCATCGCGGCCGTGGTGGGCGTCCTGCTCTTCGTGGTCATGTGTGTGGTCATCGGCATCGTCCTCAAGCGGAGGCGGCAGAAGATCCGGAAGTACACCATGCGGAGGCTGCTGCAGGAGACCGAGGTGAGGCGGCCCCCGCTACCCCGGCGCCTGGTCTGGTCCGCAGCCCGCGCGCGCCCGCCTCGCTGACCGCCACGCCCTCCCGCAGCTGGTGGAGCCGCTCACGCCCAGCGGGGCCATGCCCAACCAGGCACAGATGAGGATCCTGAAGGAGACGGAGCTGAGGAAGGTGAAGGTGCTTGGATCCGGAGCTTTCGGCACCGTCTACAAGGTGAGGGGCGGGGCAGGGCCCGGGCTGGCGGAGCGGGGTGGGGGGGTGCGCGGGCCCAAGGGGTGGCCCCGCTCACACAGCCTCCTTCTCCTCAGGGCATCTGGATCCCCGATGGGGAGAACGTGAAGATCCCTGTGGCTATCAAAGTGTTGCGGGAAAACACATCCCCCAAGGCCAACAAGGAAATCTTGGACGTAAGCCGCTCCGCCCCGCGGAGGCGTTCGGGATCCCCCAGCTGCGGTCTTGGCCTTGGCCGGTCTCTAGGATGGGGCGGGGTGTGGGTCTGGGTGTGGCCCCGCCCCTCACGCAGCCCCGCCCCCAGGAAGCCTACGTGATGGCTGGCGTGGGCTCCCCGTACGTGTCCCGCCTCCTTGGCATCTGCCTGACGTCCACCGTGCAGCTGGTGACGCAGCTCATGCCCTACGGCTGCCTCCTGGACCACGTCCGCGAGCACCGCGGGCGCCTGGGCTCCCAGGACCTGCTCAACTGGTGCGTGCAGATCGCCAAGGTAGGCGCTGCGGGGCGCAGGCTTTGCCTGCACCGGGCAGGCGGCCAGTGGCCAGGCGAGTCCCTGCGGTCCACACGGTGCCTCCCGCCCAGGGCATGAGCTACCTGGAGGACGTGCGCTTGGTGCACAGGGACCTGGCTGCCCGCAATGTGTTGGTCAAGAGCCCCAATCACGTGAAGATCACAGACTTCGGGCTGGCGCGGCTGCTGGACATCGATGAGACGGAGTACCACGCGGACGGGGGCAAGGTCGGGGACAGAGGGGGACAGGGAAGGCAGGGCACGGGGTGCACCCCCCAGAGGCCTCTGGGGAGTGCCTCTCCCCACACCCAGTCGGAGGGCTCCCCCTCTGCTCCCCAGGTCCCTATCAAGTGGATGGCGCTGGAGTCCATCCTGCGCCGTCGGTTCACCCACCAGAGCGACGTGTGGAGCTACGGTGCGTGGGCCGGGAGTGGGGAAGACGAGGCGGATCCTGTCCCTCTCCCCCACCACACTGCCAGGCTCCAGGCAGAACCCCAGGCCCATGCACCAGAGCACCCCCTGGTCGCCCATTCTGACGCCAGTCTCCGCCCTAGGGGTGACCGTGTGGGAGCTGATGACTTTTGGGGCCAAACCCTATGACGGGATACCAGCCCGAGAGATCCCCGACCTGCTGGAGAAGGGGGAGCGGCTGCCCCAGCCCCCGATCTGCACCATCGACGTCTACATGATCATGGTCAAATGTGCGTGTGGGAGGGGAGGGTGCGGAGGACAGCAGCACGTGGCCTGGCAGCAGTGCACACTGAGTTCCTTTCCTTCCCACCCAGGTTGGATGATCGACTCCGAGTGTCGGCCGCGATTCCGGGAGCTGGTGGCCGAATTCTCCCGGATGGCCCGGGACCCCCAGCGTTTTGTGGTCATCCAGGTACTGGGCCTTTTCACCCCATAGAGGGTGACAGGCAGGACCCCAAGTGCCCCCCACCTGGTCCCCCTCTGGTCGGGCTGCCTCTTCAGTCTCCTGCCTCCCTAGAATGAGGACCTGGGCTCTGCCAGCCCGCTGGACAGCACCTTCTACCGCTCGCTGCTGGAGGATGATGACATGGGGGACCTGGTGGACGCTGAGGAGTACCTGGTGCCCCAGCAGGGCTTCTTCTGCCCGGACCCCGCCCCGGGGACCACAGGCACAGCCCACCGCAGGCACCGCAGCTCCTCCACCCGGGTCAGTGCCCCGGACACCCAGGCTGGTTGTTTGTCCCTGCCCCATGCACTAGGGTCCCTCTCCCCGATGCCCCCTAACGTCACCCCTCATGGAGACCTTGTGACCCCATCCTCTCCCCCATGACCATGATAGTCACCCCCAAAAGTGACCCTGCCTCTCTCCGGGGGAGTCCCTGTCCGGATCCACAAGTGCCCGTTATGACCCTGTGACAACATTCTCTCTGCTCCCAGAGTGGTGGTGGGGAGCTGACGCTGCGGCTGGAGCCCCCCGAAGAGGAGCCCCCCCGGTCCCCGCTGGCCTCCTCAGAAGGGGCCGGTTCCGATGTGTTTGAGGGCGACCCCGGAATGGGGACAGCCAGGGGGCTCCAGAGCCTCCCCTCACACGACCCCAGCCCCCTGCAGCGGTACAGCGAGGACCCCACGGTCCCCCTGGCCCCAGAGACTGACGGCTACGTCACCCCACTGACCTGCAGCCCCCAGCCTGGTATGAGATGGGGCGGTGGGGACCTTACGGAGGCCAGGGAACACCCTGCTTCCTTTGCCTAACAGTCTTCTGTCCTTTCAGAATATGTCAACCAGCCAGAGCTCCAGCTGAAACCCCCCTTGCCCTTAGAGGGTCCTCTGTCCCCTGTACCACCTGCTGGTGCCACTCTGGAAAGGCCCAAAACTCTCTCCTCTGGGAAGAATGGGGTTGTCAAGGACGTTTTTGCCTTTGGGGGTGCTGTGGAGAACCCTGAGTACTTGGCACCCCGAGGAAGTGCCCAGCCCCACCCTCCGCCCACCTTTAGCCCGGCCTTTGACAACCTCTATTACTGGGACCAGGACCCACCAGAGCAGGGGTCTCCCCCTGGCACCTTTGAAGGGACTCCTACGGCAGAGAACCCTGAGTACCTGGGTCTAGACGTGCCCGTGTGAGCCAGCCAGGAGGCTTGCGTGCCAGGAAACACACTAAGGAACTTCGCTTCTGCTTGGATTCCCAGGCAGCTGAGCAGGGTGCCCCAGCCTGGCCGTGGGAGGGACGGCACCAGACATCTCTGGATTTGGAGCCCTACCCACTGGACCCAGGGGGCTGGTGGCCACCACAGCTGGAGCGTCCTCACCTGAGGCTGCAGCCCTACCCAGCCCTCTTCAGATCCATGGTACTGAACTGAGAAGCTGAGCCAAGGAAAGAAGAGGCCCCATGGGAGTGGCTGAGAACAAGGGTGGCCGCTGGGAGCCTGTCCCTGAGACCCGGCGCCACCCGGAGGAACGGCACCACACCCACGCCCAGACCAATCCCTGTACAGAGTGCTTTTTTGTTTTGTTTTTACTTGGTTTTTTAAAAGATGACATAAGGACTCCGAGGAAGAGTGGCTGTTGTGTGAACGGGGGTGCCCTGGAGATGGGGGGGGTGCCCCTCACACCCACTTTCTCGGTTTGCAGATAGAGTGTGAAAAGCAGCTGGGCCCGGCCTCCCTGTAGGGTACCACGGAGCCAGGCCCCACTGCCCACCTTAGCCATAGCTCTTCCAGAGCAGGTAGCTGGGATCTTCCAGGGCCTGAGCCAGAAACCCAGCCTACTACTCCCCAGCTCTGGGATGTGGGGACAGGGATTTAGGACTCTGATCCCAGAGCCACAGCCTGCTCATCACTCCTGCTTGGTCAGACTCACTCCTAAGCCCCCCCCCCCCCCCCGAATGGGGTCACTTCCTCACGCAGGGGCCAGGGGGGAAGTGGGGAGGCAGCTGTATGCGACTCACTGTCCTGGCCTTGCTAAGAGGAGCTGCCTACCCGCCAGGCAGTGTGCAGACCAGGCTGACCTTGGAGCCTCCCCAAGCTGCAGAAACACACACCCCTCTGCCGAGTGTCTGGGTGCCTCTTTATTGCCAACAGCTGACATGGCCCAAGGCTCAGGGGAAGTGAATTAGATCCACTGTGGCCTCTGACAGGGCTTGGACTTCCATGGACGCCGTGCCCAGGAAGCGGGTACGAGGTGGTTGTGGAAAGTCCACAGAAGAACGCTGTTCCTACCCCTACGATCACCAAAGCTCCTCTTCCCTCTTGTGCCCACAGGGCAAAGTGGAGGCCAGGGTCCCTTAGCTGCCTGGAGCTAAGTGAAGGGAGAGGTGGGGAGCTCCTAGCAGGACCAGGGGAAACCAAGGCGTGGACCCTGGAACTTGGAGCAGTCACAGGATGATGCAGGGAGGGCGGCTGTTGGTGATCTTTTCTAGGGGTTCTCCGTTACTGGCTCTGCGGATGGCCTCGATGAGCTAGACGGAAGGCAGAGATGCAGAACAGAATGACACACTGCTGGGGTCGGGGTCGGGGTCGGGGTCCCCCCACCCACCCCGAGCTGCAAACACTCACATCTTTCTCATAAGGGAAGCCCCCGTTCTCCAGCTTGGAGAACACCAGCTGTCCATTGATCTCAATCTCAAAGGCCCCTGGTAGGAAATTTTAAACGTGTGAGTGGATGGCACTGCAGAGACCAGGCACAAGTCAGGGAGGCCCTCCAAAGGGGACCCCCATGAGTCCCAACAGAGACTCCAGAAGTCAGAGGTCACCGACGCAGGACAACTCCAAAGTACATGCAGACCAGTTTTCCCTCTCAATGAAGGGCTCCCTCCCCTCCAAACCTGCACTAGGGCCAACAGCTTTTTTTATTTTTGCAGACAGCCTGGCTATGTAGTCCAGGCTGGCCTCTGACTCGGCGATCCTCCCGCCTCAGCCTCCCAAGTGCTGGGATCCAATCCCGCTACTGCCAACAGCTTTCTCCCCCTGGGTCTGGTCTGTGGCCCCCTCACCCAGGGAAGGGGACTCGTGGTACATTTTTACTATGTGCCAAACGCTGCTGGGCACTTGACTGAAGCAGCCAGCGTCCGAGCCAGAGCGGCAGCGCCGGGGTTTTGAACACAGACCGACTCCGCCGGCGACCGTGGGCCTCACCTGTGCCCCCGAGGCGCGACTCGATCTCGATGCCTGGGTACTGCTCCTTCACGGCGCTTGCCAGCTCCAGGTAGGTGGCCTCGAAGCCGCAGGGCTCGCTAGGGAAGAGACGCGGGTGGGCTGGGGTCTCGGGAAGGGGTCCCGTACCGTGTCCGTCCCTCCCTGGACCCACGGGCATCCGCCCGCCGCAGCCGCTCACCAGTACTCCACCACGATGCGGACCCCACTGCCCGGTTCCACCTCCCCGGGAGGGGGCGCCACGGACAGCTTCCCGGGCTCCCCCGGCTCCCCGCTCATGGCTCCGGCTGCGCTCGGTCGCCACTTCCGGGTGTGACGCCACGGCGCGGGCACGTGACGGGGGGGGGGGCGGCCAAGCCTTGTGCCCGCGCGCCCCCTGCAGGCCGCAGCTAGAGCTGCGCTCGGGCGCTGTCCTCAGCAGGGAGCTCGAGTCCGCGCCCGCGTTCCGGCCCGGGTTCCCAGTCCGCAGGGCCTCAGGACCTGGACTGAGCTCTCGAGCCTCTCTCCGACTGCAAAGCGCCTTCCAGTCTACGAGGGGAAGAAAAAATGATGGGGCGAGCAGCCTGGGGATGGGCCAGCTGCCATCTAACATATGGATGAAACTTTATTTAAAATTTACTTTACAATTTATTTATTTTGGTGCTGGAGATTAAATCCAGGGGCGCTCTATCACCGATCTAAGTCTCTAGTCGTACTTATTTTTTAATTTAGAGACAAATTTTTGCTAACCTGCCTGGGTGGGCCTGGAACTTGCGACCTTCCTGCCTCAGCCTCCCAGAATGGTTGGAATCACAGGTGTGCACCGCAGTTTAAACTACTCCATAGTTACGCACTCAAATTCTTCTAACTCCCAAGTGCTAAAGTGTGCCTTTCCCAATCTTTTTCGACTGCTTCTTCCCCGAACTGGGGAACTTCAGACTTTGGAGCGCAAGGTGGGGGGCAGCTTCCTGGGCTTCCAGCGCCACCTCTTGCACCGACTCCCTGCACACCCGGCTTTCTCCCAGCCACTCACTGGAGGGCGGCATCGCGAGCCTCATTTTGCAACTCTGGAGAGGATACTGTGAAAGTCCTGGCTGCCTGTCCCCGTCAGGTGCCACTATACTATCCCGACAGCCCACTGCTGTGTCTCTTTAAACTGTCTTTCCTTTTAAACAATCCAGGGACTTGTCGTTGTGCAATCAGCAGCACAATCCAGTTAGGAAACATTCCTACCACCTAATAAGGCCCCTCTGGCCTGGTTGCAGCTGGTCTGACCCCAGTTCCAGCCCTGGGGTGCTTCCCGACCCCACAAACCGCCTCTTCCAGACAGGTCCGTTGAGTGGAATCCTGCGACACGAGGCCTTCTGCTTCCTGCTTCCCTCCCTCAGTGTAATGATTTTCTAAGGAGCCTCATCCTACAGGCAGTACTTCCTTTTTATTGCTGAGTAGTATTCCATCGCAGGAATTAGCATGCTTTGTTTATCTGTTTACTGGGTGGTGGAGGCTGGAGTTTGAATACTGCTCGGTGCCTGTTGTGTGGGTGTTGGGTGTGGATGAGGGGGTCCTTCCTCCAGGACAGACTCCCAGCAGTAGCTCTGTCTATGGGAAGTTTATGCTGAACTTTTTTTCTTTTTCTTTTTTGGTACTGGGGGATCAAATTTGGGACCTTTTGCTTGCAAGGCAGGTGGCAGAACCACTGAGCTAAATCCCCGGCCTATGCTGAACTTTTAAAGAAATTAACAGACTGTTTTGCAAAGTGGCTGTACCATTTTACACTCCCAGCAGGAACACAGTATATCAGCATTTTGTTTCTCCATATCCTCACCAATATTTGCCTGTCTCTCTCTCTGGAGAGATCAAACTCAGGGTCTTCATAGTGGGGTTAGATCCTTAGCCCTGTTTTGTTTTGTTTTGTTTTTGGTACCGGGGATCAAACTCGGGTCCTTGCGCTTGCCAGGCAGGTGGTGGAACCACTGAGCTAAATCTCCAGCCCTCTTTTTCATTTTTGATACAAGGTCTTGCTAAATTGGCCAGGCTGGGCTTGAGTTTGGGATCTTGCTGCCTCTGCCTCCGAGTGCTGGGATCATAGGTGTGTGCCTCTAGGCTTGGCTCACAGCATCATTTATCTATTTATGTATTTATTTATTTATTTTTGGTACCGGGGATCAAACTCACTCGGGACCTTGCACTTTCAAGGCAGGCACCGGAACCACTGAGCTAAATCCCTAGCCCCTTCATTCATTGAAAAGACTCTGATAGATATGGTGGCATCCAGCGATATCCCAGCTGGATGTCAAGAGTCACCCAGGTTAGAGATTGCCCAGGAATTTAGAAAGACTCCATCTCAAAAATGATCTAAGACAGGGCTGGGGATGTAGCTCAGGGGTACAGTATTTGCCTAGAATGTATAAATTCCATCCCTAGTACTACAAAACAAACAGAACAACAACAAATAGGACAATCTATTGCTTCCCCATCAAATTGTCTTGGAACCTTTGTCAAAAATGTACTGACCAGAAACGTAAGGGTTTATATTTGAACTCTCAATTCTGTTTCATTCATCTACATAGATGGTTCCTGACTTATAATGGTTCAATGTATGAGTTTTCAGCTTTGCAGTCTACCACTGAGCTACATCCCCAGCCTTTTTCATTTTTTTTTTTTTTTTTTTTAAATCTTGAGACCAGGTCTTGTTACGTTGCCCAGACTGGCCTCGAACTTTGGACCCTCAGCCTCCCGAGCAGCTGAGAACACAGGTGTGTGCACTATACCTGGCCAAGTTAGGTGTATTAAATGCAGTTTCAACTGACAATGGATTATTGAGACCTAACCTCATGATGAGCCAAGAAGCATCTGTAAATCTTTTTTTTTTTTTTGGTACAGGGGATGGAACTCAGGACCTTGTGCTTGCAAGGCAGGCAGCAGCACCACTGAGCTAAATCCCCAGCCCTTGTAAATCTATTCTTTTTAGTTTAATTAAAAAATTCAGATACAGTTTGTATAGTTAAAGTTCATGGTGCATGGCTGTAACCCCCAGCACTCTGGAGGCTGAAGCAGGTGGATTGTGAGTTCAAGGCCAGCCTGGGCTACATACTGAGTGGAAGGCTGGCCTGGAGTTCATAACGCGGCCCTATCTCAAAACAAAAGCGTTCTTTGAGTCGACCTTTTTTTGAGTCCTAACACCACACCCAGTCGCTGTGCAGCCACAACCTCAGAGAAGACAGAGCAGCCCTGGGACCTCCCACAAGTCCTTGTGGCCCTCCTGCCAGCCCATCTCTCCTGCCAGCCTCATATCTGCTTTTATTTTTCTTTTCCTTTGTTTTTTTGAGACAGGGTCTCCCTATGTAGCCCAGGCTGGCCTTGAACTCCAAGTGATTCTCCTGCCTCAGCCTCCCCAGTGCTGGGATCACAGGTGTATGGGCCCACACTGGCATCTAGACCTGCTTCCTGTCCTTCCAGACCCTCCCCTCCAGAAAGCTACAGAAACGGGAACCTCCAGCGCTCTGGGTGGGCTTCCCTCTGCACCCCACCCTCCAGCAGCCACCCAATCTTTCCAAAGTACAGAGGACGCCCCCCAGCGTCCAGCCTCTGCCCCCCACTCCTGCCGTTCTGGATGAACAGGACCGGTGGCTCTCCAGCCCAGCTTGCAGAGCAGCCCCCCGAGGGCTTGTCAACAGCTCCAATTCCTGGGGCTCTGGCCCAAGGCCGGGATTCAGCGGCCAGGAAGAGCCCAGGGAACTGTTTTTCACACAAGCCCTGGGGACTTGGGGGCTCGAGGCCCGGGCCACCTTTTCAGAAGCGCAGCTGCTTTCTGCAGGCCTGCCACACCTGCCCAGGTCACCTTTTCGGCCTCAGTCCCTCCGTCCCCGCCTGCCGCGCCTGGGCACTTGTCCCCGGCAGGGAAGCTGAGCTCCTTAGCTCCCCATCTGCAAGCCCAGCCCCTCCCCGGGCGGCCAGCGCCTCCCACGCGCCATTGTCATTTCCACGGAGAGCTCCTCCCCAGTCCCTGCGGAGTCACTCTCCTGGCAGGGCTGCCGCCGCCCCTCCTTGCTCGTGTGACTGGTTGGCACAGGAGGCTAAGGGTGAGGCGGATGCAGTCGCTGATCTCTGTGTGGCTGGCGCGGAGCACAGGGCTGCCCGCCCCCCGGCAGGAGCGGAACCAACAGGTGCTTCCGTGAATGCGGGCATTGTCCGCCTGTCCCTGCCCAAGCTGGCGTGGCCCAGGCGACGCCCCCTGCCCTCTCGTCCTGGGTTTCCAGGGAGATCTCAGCTCGGAGAAAGTTTCCCCAGGGGCCGCCCCCTCGCCCTCCCCCACCTCGTCGGCCCTGTGCCGTTTGTTTTCTCGACTGTGTGCACCTCAGGCGGGGAGGTGGCTGCTGTCTTTGATCTCAGCCTCGGTCCCCCTCCTTGCCCCCGTGTTTGCCGAGGGCGGAAGGACAAAGCCAGAGCCCTGCTCTCTGGGTCCCCTACAGTTCTGTGCCCCGAGCCTTGTCCACCCCTGCCCAGCCCCTCGATTTGAGAGGGACAGGTGCGACCTGCTCAGGACTCTGCTCAGGAGGGCATCCCTAGCTGTCTCTGGGGACCCGCGGGACGGCCTGGCTGGCCAGACTGTGGCGGGAGGTGAAGGGGCAGAACAGGTGGCTGGACACTTTCTGGCTGGACATTTGTCTGGTTTTGCAGAGGGCCCTTTGCCCTGGAGGTGGCACTCGGAGCTGCAGACGGGCCCCCTAGCTGGGCCAATGAACTTGGCAGTGCTGGGCGGGGCTAGGGGTAGTGGGCGTGGCCGCACCCTGGTCTTCCAGTTTTAGCCCCGCCCTTCCCCAGGCACCTGCAGCCGGGCGGGGAGACTGGTGGGCGTGGCCGCAGCCACCCCGCCCATCCACGAGCTCCTCCCCCGCGCTGCCGGGCCCGGCCCCCACCTGCCCAGGATAATTTTAGTTTCCCTGGGCCTGGAATCTGGTCTCGCAGGGCGCCCGCCTCCTCCCGGCCTGCGGGTCCTGAGTGGGGACGCCCTCCTCCACCTGTAGAGAAGAGGGATCAGGAATCCAAGCCAGGTCCCTGCGGTCCCGGTCAGAACCAGACGTGGTCCTGCTGCTCCTGTGGGCTCCTCCAGGTAAGGATGGAGATCTTCTCCACCGCCGCTGTCCCCACGCCACCGCCCGCCGAGCCGTCGCAGGCCAGGCTGGGGGGGTCGACGACAAGTGATCGTCAGGTCCCCCCTTCCCGCTCGGTGATGCGGGGGGCGGGAGGGAGCAGAGGCCCTGCCTCTTCCTCCAGCCAGGTGTGCGGCCGCCAGGTGCAGATGAGGTCCAGGGCTCGCGCTCCACCCTGGGGGTGCGGGACAGGTGGGGGTCGCTGTGGAAGAACTCGGACTCCCGTGTGTCCCCGACGGCCTCTATCTCCCCCCTTCATCCCATCCCTCAGCCCCAGGGTCCCCAGTGTGGTTTCCTGCCTCTCTGTCCGCTTCCCCCCATCCGCAACTCTACGGGGTTAACCGGTGGGGAAAGGCGAGGGCTCCTCCGAGCTGGGAAGAGCTGCTCAGCCTAGCTCACCCCAACTTCGGCGTCCCAGTGGAGGATCCCACGTTGCTGAGGCCCAGATCCCCTACTGGATGGGAAGCTGGGACGGGTGCCCCTGGTACCCCTGCCCAGGGAGGTGGGAGGGTGGGTGCTGCGGGGACCTTCGGTGCAGGGGGCTCGTCTTGCTGCGGCGGGGGAGGGGCTGCAGGCTGCACCTGGGTCCCCAGGGTGGAGAATGCACCTGTTGGGCTTGGCGGAGTGCCTCACCCTCTGCCCCCCCAGGAGCTCCCTTGGGGGTGCCTGGGCTGGACTCTGCTCTTCCGTCTCCCCCTGACGCCCTGCTAAGTGGGGGGCACCCTCCCCGACGCAAAATAATGATTAACCCCACGGGGAGACTGTAGCATTCTTCCCACATTAAACTTTAAAAGAGCTGCCCCCCTCCTCCCATTGGGTGTCTTTTCCAGTCGGAGGGAGTGGGCGGGACCTCAGTGGCCTGGGCCCTTCCCCTACTCTGGGTCACCTTGGAGCTCCACACCTCCTCACCTGGGCCCCGCACCCCAAAGGTCAAGCCCCTCCCCCACCCTAAATCCCGCTTAGGACAAATCCGAGTCCCGGAGTCCAGGCCCCCACCCTGGAAGCTGGGAAGAGGGCCTTGTTTTCTGTTGGCCCCAAACACAGGGCCTGCCACCCGCCCTCGGGGCCAGCCAGGTGGGGCGAGATTCAGGAAGTAAACAAGGCTAGGAGGGTAGGAAGGAGGGTGGGGCTGGGTGGCTAGGGCCGGAGAGGCAGAGCCCGCGAATCCAGGTTGGAGTGGCGCTGCTGGGGGGCAGGTTGCTGGGTGGCCGCTGACTTCAGCCTGCAGCCACTTCCTCCCCTCTTCCCGGGCTCCCCACTGGTGGTCTCTGGCCGGCCCTGCCCCCATCCCTCCCTGAAAGGAGAGGAGCGGGAGATCAATGTGGGTGTGTCCCCCCTTTCCGTAAGGACCTGAGCCCCCACCAGTCCCAGCTGTGGGTGGGGCCCTTTTGCCCCTTTGTCTGTCTGTCTGTCTGCTTCTTTGGGTGTTTGACTTTCCAGTCCTGCTCTGCTGGTCCCTCTGGCCAGAACACCCGGAGAGGAACTTCATCCCTGGGGAGACAGACCTGAACAAGTCCTGGGCAGCCAGCACTGGCAGCAGCAGAAACAGCCCGCTGGGGCCCTGACCCGGGGTAGGGGGCGGACAGGGTGGTTGGCTCCGCTCTGGAGGGCTTCGACCCGACCCGGGCCAGGCCGGTGGTGGTAGCGTGGGGTGGAGGGGCTGCGGGTGGCAGGTCCCACCTGGACTGGAGCTGGGCCAGGGGTGGGGAGGGGGAGGTGACGTCAGAGACGCCTGGGCCCCCCATCCCCCAGGCTGCAGTGGGTCGGGTGGGGGCGAGAGGCTGTTTGTGTTTCTGCTAACCAGGAAGCCCGGATGAGTCAAGGTTGAATGGAGAGCCAGGGGCAGTGCTTCCCGCCCTGCCCTGACTCACCTGTCCCCTTCACCCCCTGTGCAGGGTCAGGGGCGAGGCCTGGCCCGTCCCCGCGGGATCCCAGATGCCCCCCTGGCCTGGAGGTCCTGCTCGTGTGAGAGCAAGCGGGTGCTGGGGTGGGCACCACCTCGGGATCCTCCCAGGATCCACTAAGCCCGAGCTGCTTGGTCCCTGGTGGGGAGGAGCCCCTGGTGCCCCCAGCCCCGAGCATCCTGGTCCGTACTGGTCCCGGGTGTCTGGGTGCTAAGACACGGGTAAGACTCCGGCCCTGAGGCAGTGGTTGGGTGAGACGGGGCCTGTGGTAGTGGCTGCAGACGGAGCTGTCGGTTTGAATGGTTTGAATCCGGGAAGGCTTCTCGGGGGAGGTGGCTGGCTCTGGTCCAGTCCTTCAGGAAAGGATTGCCGCAGGACAATGGGACCAAGGAGGGCACCCGAGGATAGGCCTTCACCTCCTGCCCTCCTGCTTACTGTCCTCTCCCCTCTGCACTCTGGGCACCACTTGTGCGTGGATGGTACCACAACAGGCTTGGCAGCTGGGCCTGGCAGCAGAGTGCTGGGAAATCCCGGGCCAGTGGCCGGTGCAGTGCATGCCCCACACTTGGAGGCAAGGGAGGCCTTGGCCTGACCCGAGAGCCAAGCCCAGGGTGTGCCGGGCCTGTCCCTGCTTCTCCCGAGCAGCCCTGGCTCAGGATGAGCACTGCATTCGGAGTCCAAACTCCAGACTCACCTGTCACCGTGGCAGGAGGGCTCCCCAGGGCCTCAGAGCCCCCTTTTGTAAGAAGGGCCTCATTCTGTCCTCCAGGGAGAGGGGGAGCCAGAGCTTGTCATGATGTGGCAGATACTTGTAAGCCCAGCGCTCTGGGAGCCAGAGGCAGGAGGATTACAAATTCTAGCCCAGCCTGGCAATTTACCGACTTAGTGAGACCCTGTCTCAAAAATTTTAAAAAATGGACTGAGGATGTGGCCCAGTGCAAAGGTCCTGGGTTCAATCCCCATTATCATGAAGAAGAAAAGGGGGGCCCAGGACAGCTCTGGGGACACCATGGCAGCTGTGTGGGCCTGTGGGCCCCAGGACAAGGTGCCTCTTCTTCCTCCCCAGATATCATGGAGCCGGACCTGTCTCCCCCGAGTCCCAGCAGCCCCCTAGAAGACCTGTGCCCAGCCCCCAGGACCCTGCCTGGGACCCCCCCGCCCCCTGAAGCCCCTGTGCTCGGGGAGGTGATGCGGTCCCAGCCTGTGCCCATCCCAGCCAGCAGGTGCCGCGGGGTGACGGGGTGAGGAGGCGGGAGTGCCCAGGGTCCGAGCCCTGCCAACAACGAGCCCCCTCCTTCTTGCCCAGGAAGCTTCCCGAGGAGGAGCGCCAGGCCACCTCGCTGCCCTCCATCCCTAACCCTTTCCCTGAGCTCTGCAGCCCCACCTCGCACAGCCCCATCCTCGGGGGGCCCTCCACTGCCAGGGGGCTGCTACCCCGAGACACCAGCCGCCCCCACGTGAGTTGCCCCAGGGGAGGGAAGCCGGGTGGGGTCCATGGCGGACCCGGCGTGAAGCGGGGGTTGGTGGGAGACCTCCCCTCCGTCCTCCTCCCCCGTGCAGGTGGTGAAGGTGTACAGCGAGGACGGGACCTGCCGCTCCGTGGAGGTGGCCGCTGGTGCCACAGCGCACCATGTGTGCGAGATGCTGGTCCAGCGCACCCAGGCCCTGAGTGATGAGAACTGGGGGCTGGTGGAGTGCCACCCCCTCCTGGCCCTGGGTGAGGGGGAACCCGGGGGCCTCGGGAGGTGGTCCAGGTGGAGGCCAGTTCGTCAGCACTCACCCCAGCCCTGTGCCTGACCCAGAGCGCGGCCTGGAGGACCATGAGTTGCTGGTGGACGTGCAGGCCACCTGGCCAGTGGGCGGGGACAGCCGCTTCGTCTTCCGGAAGAACTTTGCCAAGTACGAGCTGTTCAAGAGCTCCCCGGTGAGTGTTCGGGGCCGGGCCGGGACAGCCTGGCCGATTCCCGACCCCTTGAGCCCTGACCCCAGCCCCTGTCTCCCCAGCACACCCTGTTCCCAGAAAAGATGGTCTCCAGCTGCCTCGACGCGCACGCCGGCATGTCCCATGAAGACCTCATACAGGTGAGGGAGCCCCCGAATGTTGCCAACTGCCCCAAGCCAGGGCCTCCCCCTGATTGTGGACAAGTCAGGTCCAGGCCAGAGCGTCAGTTTCTTGCCTGTTAAATGGGGATAAGGAGGGGGCTGTGGTCCCAGCACTGTGGGAGGCTGAGGCAGGAGGATTGGAAGTTCCAGCCCAGCCTGGGCAACTTAGTGACTTAGTCAGGCTCTGTGTCAAAATAGAAGATTAAAACAAAGGGTTGGGGAGTGTAGCTCAGTGTGAAGGCTGTCGGTTCAATCCCCAGTATGGAGGAAAACATGGGGACCATCAGAGCTGGTGGGGCAGTTCCTGCCAATGGCCTGGCCTGTGGATGGAGCGGGGTGGCCTCACCCTCCTGCTCTGGCCTGCCTCAGAACTTCCTGAACGCGGGCAGCTTCCCTGAGATCCAGGGTTTCCTGCATCTGCGAGGCTCAGGCCGCAAGCTTTGGAAACGCTGCTTCTGCTTCCTGCGAAGGTCTGGCCTCTACTTCTCCACCAAGGGCACCTCGAAGGTGAGGTCCCCAGGTGCCACCTGGCCCTGGCCTGCTCCGTCCCCATTGGAACTCTGAACCACAACCCCGGGAGGTGGTCTTGGTCCAGTTTGAGTCCGTTCCTTGTTTGCTGTGTGACTTTGTGCACTTCCCTTCCCTCTGTGGTCCTGAGGTCTCACCTGGCTTGGGAGCAGTGGGAGGAGGATAGAGTCTCCCTATGCCAAGCCCTGCACACTTGTGCCGCTCAGGACCCGAGGCACCTGCAGTACGTGGCAGATGTGAACGAGTCCAATGTGTACATGGTGACGCGGGGCCGCAAGCTGTACGGGCTGCCCACGGACTTCGGCTTCTGTGTCAAGGTGAGGGCCTGAGGCCACCCCGCCTGTGGGGAGCAGGGAGCGAGAGCCGACCAGGACGCCAGGCTGCCCCGGGGACCAGGCACTTGTCCCGTGCCCTGTGCCGCTGGAGAATCCCGTTTTGCTCCACCCCATGGAGTTGGGGACTGGGACAGACGTCTATCCTCACGGTAGACATGGGACTTGCCCACTTCCTGTCCCACCAGCCCAACAAGCTCCGGAGCGGCCACAAGGGCCTCCGCATCTTCTGCAGCGACGATGAGCAGAGCCGCACCTGCTGGCTGGCCGCCTTCCGCCTCTTCAAGGTGAGGCCCAGGGGCTGGCATCGCCCAGGGGCTCTAGCAGCTGTCTCCGCATGGGGGGGGCATCACAGCCAGGCCCTGAGAATCCCTGGCCCTGGCTTCAGGAAGCTCAGGCAGAGGGGCCTTGCTCCCAGGGCGTCCTGGCTCCAGGGGTGTCGCAGCCTGGCTCTCAGGCCCCCTTTCTTCCCCTGCCCCTAGTACGGGGTGCAGCTGTACAAGAATTACCAGCAGGCCCAGTCTCGCCACCTACGCCCATCCTACTTGGGGTCCCAGCCCTTGGTGAGTACCAGGGGCACACGGTGGGTGGCAGCCGGGCCCGGCACAGGAGCTCTGTCCTCACCCCTCTCCCGCCTCGCCCCCTCCAGAGGAGCGTCTCTGACAACACCCTGGTGGCCATGGACTTCTCAGGCCAAGCCGGCCGCGTCATCGAGAACCCCCGGGAGGCTCTGAGTGCTGCCCTGGAGGAGGCCCAGGCCTGGAGGGTGAGGGTGCAGTGTCCCGAATGGGTTTCTGTTCGGTGAGAGGGAAATGGGGGTGCTGGGGAGCTCTCCCACGCACGCCCTGACTCCCCATTTCCCCACCGCTCTGCAGAGAAAGACAAACCATCGCCTCAGCCTGCCCACCCTGTGCTCGGGTGCCAGCCTCAGTGTAGGTGGGTGGCACCCCGGGTCCCAGGGTGCGGCTGCCTCGGTTTCCCCGAGCATTCCTGACGAGCTTGGGGTCCCCTCCGCTGAGTGAGTCTGTCTGCTTCCTCACCCCAGCCATCCACCGCACCCAGCCCTGGTTCCACGGACGCATTTCCAGAGAGGAGAGCCAGCGGCTCATCGGGCAGCAGGGCCTGGTGGACGGGTAAGGGGCAGCTGCGCGGGCACAGAGCCACGATGGAGATGCCCGGGGCCAGGCAGCGGCCCTGGCTAGGGTGGGTTCCGTTAGATGGAAGCCAGACATGGGCTGGTTCTTGAGCCCAAGGACGACGTCACCGTGGTCTGCTGTCCTCTTCAGGGCCCGCTAAAGGGCAGGATTCCCTACCGGATGTTACCAGTGGGCTGTGGGTGCTTTGGCCCAGTTTCTGCAGGAGTCACGAGGTGGCGATGTGTAGCCCTTCTGCTGTCAGCGCTCTGGCCTTTGAATGCCACAGCTCCCAGCTGTGTGTGTCAGCCGCCTCTGGCCTCCGGCCATGGTGACTCCTGCACCTCCATCTCTCTCTCTGCTGCGGCCCCTCGAGGACCCCAGTAAGAAGGGCTGCAGAGGGTGGTGTCACCCAGAGAGGCTGCAGGCCAGGGTCGTCTAGGACAGGTCCGTGAACAGAGCTCTCTGCGGCCAAAGCAAATATGGCTGAGCACCTGATGTCACCGGGCCGGCTGTGAGATGTTAGGGGCAGATGCGGAAAAAAAGAAGTGCCTCTGGAGGCAGGTGTGGTGGTGCACTCTCCAGGCTGAGGCAGGAGAATCAGCACGAGTTCGAGGCCAGCCTGGGCTACATAGCGAGACCCTGTCTCAAAACACCAAATAAATAAGAAGTACCTTGTGGGAGCACAGGCTCCTCTCTCCTGTTCCAGCAGCAGCCTCAAGTCCTCTGTAATACCCTCCCTTTCCTGGCAGCCTGTTCCTGGTCCGGGAGAGTCAGCGGAACCCACAAGGCTTTGTCCTGTCCTTGTGCCACCTGCAGAAGGTCAAGCACTACCTCATCCTGCCGGTGAGTGACCTCCCTTCTCAAGCGGCCCCGATTCTTGGAGCAGGGATGCAGTGTTCCTAGCAGCCTGTCCTCCTCAGCCCCCACAAGAAGTCCCCCGGCTCCCTGTGTGTCCCCTCCATGTCCCCTGACCTCTGCCCCTGGGGCCGCTCTGCAGAGTGAGGCCGAGGGCTGTCTGTACTTCAGCATGGACGATGGCCAGACGCGCTTCACGGACCTGCTGCAGCTCGTGGAGTTTCACCAGCTGAACCGCGGCATCCTGCCCTGCCTGCTGCGCCACTGCTGCACCCGAGTGGCCCTCTGATGACCACACGAGCCGTCCTGGCCAGTGCCAGGATCCCCAGCACCGCCCCGGAATGGACTGGGGTGCAGAAGGCGGGGTGGGTGAGGAATGACGGCGGGCCCCCCTCCAGTTTCCTCCTGTGCCACTTCACCTGCCTGCCTGCAGAAAGCACCCCCTTCAAGGAAGGCCTGAGCATCCCTGTCCCCTCTGAGGCATCCCAGGGCAGTGGCTTGCGCTGGGGCAGGCCTGGTGTTCCAGGCCCCCTACCCTGTACAGACTGAGAGGCCAGTGGTCTGCTGTTTTATACTTGTGACAATAAAGATTATTTTTTGATATACCCATGGGTTCTGGGGCAAGATCTGGCTGGTGACAGGAAGAGGACCAGGGCTAGGCATGGTGGCTCACCCCAGTGATCCTAGCACTCGGGAAGCTGAGGCAAGAGGATCGCTGTGAGTTCAAGGCCAGCCTGGAGATCCTTCATGAGCGTGATGATTGGGTGCTCATGCCATATGCAGGAGATGTGCCTCCCTCAAATCTTGTTACAACGTCAGCACATTACCCATCTGATGTAAAAAACAAGAACACCAGCCTGGAATACCTAGCGAGACCGTGTCTCAAAATGGAACCAAGTGGCAAAGGTGTCAGGTGGGTCAAGGCCACGTCCTGACTGTCAAGACCACTTCCTGACTGTCCTGGGTGTTTCATTTTTGTGTGTGTGGAGCTGGGGTTGGAACCTAGGACCTCCTGTGTGCTAGGGAAGTGCTTACCCTGGCTGGATGCTTCTGCAGAGCAGTGGTTCTTGGCCAACGAGTCCCTGGTGCCTAGTGTGGAGCCTGGCATAAGCCAGGTGCCCAGAAATTGCTCATTAAGTGAATAAATGGGCAAGGGACTGTCATCCCGGTGAGATTTCAGACAGCTGGGACCCACAGAGGTGACTGATGGGGCCTGGGAACTAGTGACGTTCACTGCACCTTGCCCCCAGCTGTGCTGGGTGGTGGGATGGAGTCCTGACAGTTCTATCTTCACAGCCACGACAGAGCAGCCCCTGATGTCCCATGAGTCCCTTGTGTCCTTTGGCCAAGGCTTCTCCTCCGCAGCCCCAGAACCTTTCTGTCCTCCCAGACCTCCCAGCACCGGGCCCTGTCCACCCTCCCAGCTGTCCAGAAAGCAAAGGAGCCCTGGCCCCGACATCCTGGGCAACTTAGCAAGATACCGTCTCCAGGGGATTTAGCTCAGTGTTTTCATCACCTGCTGCTCAAGTGAAGACCTGAGTTCGATCCCCTGTACCAAAAAAAAGATACTGTCTCCAAACAAGAAGGTAAAAAGGAGTTGGCAACGTAGCTGAGAGCTTCCAGGGTTCAATCCTCAGTACTGATAATAAATAAACAGCCTGAATCCAGTTCCTCAGAACCAACTACTAGTTATGTGACATACAAGGAACAGAACATGTGAAATGCCACGTGGGGACACAATGACCAGAATCTGGACCGGGAAACTACACAGCAGATGAACCAGTCTCTTCAACAACATTACAAGAAAAGCATAACAGGAATGTCTAGATTCCAAGAAATTTAGGCAGATGTCAGCTGTATGATGTGTGACCTGACTGATTCAAATCCAAACTCACTGTAAAATAGTCATAACTGGGGAAAATTCAAACTCATGAGCTGTTTGATGATATTAAGGAATATGGTTAGCTTTGTGAGATGTGAGAATGATATTGTGGTTATGGGTTTTTTTCTTTAAGCTTTTATGTGTAAGAGACTCATTGTGGTCGGGCATGGTGGCACATGCCTCCAATCCCAGCACTCTTAAGAGGCTGAGGCAGGAGGGTGGCAAGTTTGAGCCCCCCTGGATGATTTAGTTAGCACCTGTCTCAAAGTAAAGAAATGCAAAAAAAAAAAAAAAAAGAAATGCAAGAGTCTGGAGACGTAGCTCAGTGCAAAGGCCCTGGGTTCAATCCCCAGTACTGCAAAAACCAAAAACGACTCACTCTAAAGTATACTGGGTGAAATGACACCATGTGTCAGGGTGGGGCCAGGGGACAGCAACGACTTCAGCCCGGCTCTGAGTGGCAGTCTGGACACTGCCATCTGGTTGGCTTCCGGGTAGGACTCAGGCCACACCAGGAGCACTAATGGACAGTAGTGGGGTCCTCCCTGCACTCCCTCCCTTATCTGCAGACCTGGCCTCATTGGTCAGGTCGTCCTGGGGTGACCCGGACAGCTCTAGCCACTACCTGCAGCTGTAGACACTTCAGTTGCCTCAGGGCTGGGCTTGGTAGCCCTGGCAACTGCCTGTGTCCAAGGCTCCTGATCCTGAGTCCTGGGCTGGGGAGTCTGGAGCCCGGCAAGGTGGTCAGAGGGCCCCACGCTCCAGCCCAGCAGCTGGGGCCAACCTGAAAGCGCTCCTGCAGCCCAGGTGTAGCCACGTGGTGGATTTCACATCTTTTTTTTTGGTACCGAGGATCGAACTCAGGACCTTGCACTTTTGAGGCAGGCGGTGGTGCCACTGAGCTAAATCCCGGGCCCAATTTCCTATCTTTTTAGCAGACTTGAGGCAGAGGCCGGGCGACCTCCACCTGTCACCATTCCAGGTCCATCCTCACTGCTGGGCCACTTCTGAGGTACAGTGTGGGGTTCTAGGCAGGGGTGAGAGGGAGATGGGTCACCTTTTAAGCGTGTCCAGGGGTTTCGGCTGTACGGAGACCCTAGTCTCTTACTGGTTTAGGCGCCAGACAGGGGACAGATTCCTTGTAGGTCAGTCAGTAAGCGAGGGTGCTGGGGACTGGTAGGCTTCCGTTTCGTAAGTGGGAAACTGAGGCACTGAGAGACACCCCCCCCCCCGCCCAGGGTCACGGGAGAGCTAGGGACAGGAGCTCAGGTGGCGGGAGGCCGGCTGTGTCCCTCCTAGCCCTGCCCTCGGCTCTCTGCCCACCAGGAGGGACTGGGCAGCCCAGGGTCCCTGCAGCAGGTGGAAGCCGGCGTTACCACGGCCACCCGACCGCGGGGGACCTGCCTCTCCGGTCCTGGCCCACCCGGCCCCCTTACGTCCACCAGTCCCTGTGTGGGTTCCCGCCTAACAGTCCTCCAGGCTGAGCCACCCGGACACGCTGCTGGGCACCAGCTGGGTGCGGTGGGGGCCGGGAGCGAGGCTTTGGACCCCTGAGGCTGCAGCAGGAGGAAGGCGCGCCCAGAGGCCCGTCCTGCCGCCTGGGCCAATGTGCAAGGCGATCTATGCCCACTGCCCGCCCTTCTGCCCCAACCACGCGAGTGCTGGCCCTCACAGCCTAGCGCTTCGTTGTACTTCCAGCTGACTGAACTCGCTGGCCTCGAACTTGAGATCTTCCTGCCTCAACTTTCGAGCGCGGGGATTACAGGCGCGCGCTTCTGAACTCTGCACAGCGAGGTCCCATGCAGGCCCGCGGAGGGTCCGCCTTGCTCTTTAAGTCGGTGGGCCGGGACCCGCAGGGAAGGAGCTGTCGGGGCGCCCCCAGCCCCGCCGGCAGCGCGGCAGCCTGGTGCTCGCCCCGCGCCCTCCCACGGCGCCGAGCCTCCGAGCCGCGCTCCCGCGGCGACACCCAGCGGCCGGCGCGGGAAGTGCAGGGGCCGCTCTGCTCCCGAGCTCCGGCCGCGCCTCGCGGGGTCCCAGGGGTGGCGAGGCGTGAGCGCCCCAGGATCCAGGCCCCGAGCCCGCCCCGCTTCCGCTCTCCCCCCGCAGGCCCGAGCGCCCGGAGGCGCTGCCCGGTGCAGTGCGCGGAAGCGGGGCGCTGCGCTGTGACCCCGGGGCAGTTTCACTTCTGGGTCCGCCGCGTGGGGGCCGGAGGGGACCTGGGCGGGGCGGCGGGGGGACCCCTGGGTGTCACGCGACCCCGCCTTTCCGCACCCTGCCCCCCGCGGGTCCCCCGCGGCCCCCCGGCGGGCTGAGACCCCGAGAGGCCCCGACGGCGGCGTGGGCGGCGCGAGTGTGAAGCCGCAGGCCGGGCGCGGGCACCCGGCCGTTTCTCAGAAGCGGGGCCCTCGCACCCCGGGCCTCCCGCTGCAGCCCCCCTCCGGACCCCCGCCCAGCCCTGCGCTCGCGGGCTCAGCCTCAGCGCCCACAGTCACGGGCCCCGGCGTCCCGGGAGAGGGACCCGAGCCTGCGACGTCCGCGCCCCGCTCTGGTGGCCGAGTTGCAACTCCGGGCGACCTCTTGGGACACGGGCCCAGGTCGGCGGCGGAAGCAGGAGTTTCTGGAGTTGGGGGTCTGGAGCCGCCAGGATCCCAGCTGGAAGCACCAGGACGTCCTTGACCCTCAGGCCCAGGGCGGAAAGCGGAGAGCTCGGGGACCCCAGAGGCGGCTGGGCGGGACTGGAGCCTTGCACTCGAGTCTGCGGGGCCCTTTCGGCCTGCTTCACACACGCACGCACGCACACGCACAGACACACGTGCACGTCCCCAGGACAGTGGGGAGAGGCGGAGATGCTGAGAATGTCATCCCAGCGGGGGTGGCTTGGGGACCGAGCCTGTGGCAGGGGAGGAGGTGACACCTGCCCCCCTGGTTCCCATCCAGGGCCAGCCCCAGCGCTGTGGGTTAGGCGATTAGGGCCCGGCGGAGGCCGCAGGGCTGGGAAAGGAGGAGGTGCGTAGATCGCCCACAGCCCTCTGCCCTCCGCTCTTTCCACTGCCATGCTCTCTCCCGGGGTGTGTGCGAGTTATTCTGGGGGACAGGAAGAACTGTAATTTGGGGGGCAGGGAAGCAGCTGCCTCCCTCACAGGGCAGGACAGAGTTAAACACAAAACCGCAGCCAACTCGACACCGTGTCCTGTGTCCTTCGGGGATTTCCATGACACCTTGCTTCCCCGCCCCCAGCCAGGGAGGCTCCCCTGAGACCTCCCGCCCCAGGTGCAGGACTTCTGGCTTTTATGCAAACGACCTCGTCTGACCCAGGAATGCCACAGCCAGGATTTCCGTCCCAGGCCCAGTGCTCGCTGTGTCCCCAGGCCTTTGGTTCCTGGCCCTCCCAGCCCCCACTTCCGCTTTCCCCAGACCCTGGACCCTAAGGGATGGGGACAAGAGAGCTCCGTCTCTCCCACTGCCTGCGGGGGGGTGGCAGGTGTGCGTGAGCTCCCCTGCCAGGCCCACCACCCTTCCCTTGGAGAGGTAAGAAAGGAAGCCTCGTGCCAGGGGTGAAAGACAGGGTCGTTCCCCTGCTCCCAGTCTCTCCCTGTAACAGAGGGGAGACGTACATCATTCCCTCCAGGTTGGCACCAGCCGGGAGAGCAGGCACTTGGGATTATTTCGGGTGGAAATACCAAGGCGGCTGCCAGCCTGCTCTCCCTGCTGGGGTTCTGCAAT